TCATACCATTGTGTTTACATGTGTACTGAATGACCTCAGACAAAGACGGGGCAAAGAGTCCAGCCGTCAACAGAGTTCTGTGTCCCTTTTATTTCTTATTCTGTGTTTATTGAACAAACGAGCAGAACAGTGAAGACTTCAGAAAAGTCTCTGCTGTGTGATGGAAGGTAGTTTTGTGAAGAACATAAATAGGGACCTTGAGTTCAAACCATGGCAAACGCTGCTTGAAGCGGACATGATCGTTGGATTATCTATTTTGGATATTAAAATAAAAATAATGTCAACACTGCTGTTGACGGTGCTGAAGTTTCACACGCTGTTAGTCAATCTGACAGACACATTGTTTGAAGCTGACTGAAGAGGCCTTCACTGGGGCACTATGTCTGGAAAGAGGAGTTGAGTTAATTTATTCACTGCTTTGTTTAACAAATTATATTTTCCTTCAGTGTATTGAGTCGGATGCAGAAATCTCAGAGATCTCAAAACCTGGGCTCATAAAACTAGATTTACTTACATGGCTGGAGAACATAGGTTAAGAGAACATGGATAACAGTTGTGCGCTCTTAAATTGAAGCATAGCAGCAGCAGCTCACAGGCGATAAATGATGTTCATGCTTGTGAATCCACTGATCCGCTGGGAAAATCAGTACTGAGAAAAAAAACAACAAACAGTGTTTTACGTGTCTCAACAATTACAGTCACGCTTCTCTTGAGCTGCTCGTTGTCCGTTTGTGAATGTGTATCAGGGCACAGCTTGCTCACTCAGCTTTCTCCGGGTAGATAAGTGTTAAAAATAAATCCGCCCTCATGTCTCTGTGCAGGAGTGCACCCCGTTCGCTGTGATTGGCAGTAATACAGTGGTGGAGGCTCGAGGGCAGAGAGTGAGAGGAAGACTGTACCCCTGGGGGATTGTTGAAGGTATGTTCATGTGTCGTCTGTCTTTGCAGCTCTCATCGGCCTGAGTGCAAATCAGACACCGTTTGAAATGTCACAACTTACACATATACGTGTTTCTTTGCTCAGTGGAGAACCAGTCGCACTGTGACTTTGTGAAATTGAGGAACATGCTGATTCGGTCACACATGCACGACCTGAAAGACGTCACCTGCGACGTCCACTATGAAAACTACAGAGCGCAGTGCATACAGGAGATGACCAGGTATGTCTGAGAAATAAAATGGGTGCGAGGCTGAAATGTTTTGTAAACATAACTGCTGACATATACAGATTTCAATACAGATTTGTCTGTTTTTCCCCCCCCCCCCCCCTCTTTTCATCTTCTTCTTCTTCTTCCTCTTCTCTCAGTAAACTGGCTCAGGACAACCGGATGGAGAGTCCCATCCCCATCCTGCCGCTGTCCACTCCAGATGTGGACACGGAGAAACTAATCAAAATGAAAGACGAGGAGGTATGACACAGTTTTTTTAGAGGATGGAACTGTTGTTTTTGTGAATGTGTCTTGCCTCTGATACCGCTGACACGTAATAAGGATTAGTCTGTGCTTCAATCCCTGCACCTTTCACCTGTTGAAACACATTGTCCCACCCACTTAGGCCTTCGTGGTGCGACTTCAGGTGTGTTTTGGTCTCAGTCAAATTATGCCTTGTTTGAAATCTCTAGTTCTCCTGAGCCTATCTGTGCAAAGCATTTTGGGATCTTCATATAACTGCAGCAGCGGTGGCCACAGAATTGGTTCAGACTTGTGTGTGCGGCTCCAAAGTGTTTTCCACAAAAAACCTAAAGCATGTCCTCTCAGAGGAGAACAGGGTTAGGACTGTGTTATTTTTGGGCTTGTGCACAGAAACGGGGAGTGTCTGTTATCAGGTGAAAAACTCCCTTATGAGCCTCAGAGGTTGTACCTCCCTGTCTCAGTAACTGCACAGTTGGCTGCTGACTGTACAGAGGAATGATTGCATTGAATTCATTCACCACTTTTCATGTAGTTTGAACTCATGTCTGTGTGTTTAAGTATTGAAGCTGGTGTCAGGAGCTGTTTAGTTTAGCTTAGCATAAATGCTGGAACAAGGGGGAAACAGCAAGTCTGGGTCTGTCTAAAGCTGATAGATCTGCCCACCAGCACCTTTAATGTTCACTAACTAACATGTTATATACAAAAACATTCATTTGTGGTTTTAGCAGAAGGGAGGTTGAGATGTTTCAAACCTTTGTAGCTGTACAAAGAGAATGTAGAAAGAGGCCTTTAAGAATACGTGCTGCAGAACTGACATCCATTTTTCACTAGACACAAGAGCCACAAGGTTGCAGGTGCATGAAGTAATGCAATATGCATTATCTCCCAATATGTTGATCTTTTCCTTTAACTCAACAAACAACAACAACAGACATAGTACCAGTGCAAATATGAAAGATCTAAGAGAGCTTTAAAAAGATAAAATACGTTTCTTCTTCTTAAATAATGGCATGAAGCATGAAATATCTCCTGATGTGTAAAGAACTACCTCATAACGTCTGAACGCTTCATTTGTGTCTTCATGTTGAAACGCTGTTAACTCTTAAAACCAGTCATGATGTACATGCATGAGTTTAACCCTCCTAACGTTCGTCTCCGCCTGCAGCTGAAGAGGATGCAGGAGATGCTGAATAAGATGCAGCAGCAGATGCACGAGAAAGACCAGTGACGTCTCCCGGAGCAGAGCAGAGCTCCGGCGCCACCTGCTGTTTCTCCCCTGAACGACAGTGAGACCTTCAGCCATTGAACGATGGATATCATGTGTTAGTGGCAACTCTGGCTGTACATTTATCTTCAGTTTGGTGCTTTGTATAGTTCGTCTGCCTGGAAGGTTGTTTTGTCAGAGGGTTTTTTTTCTCTGAAACTATCCGTTTGCCCACTTTGAGCCCCCCCTGCTGTGGTTTAACAGTCTTAACATATATAATATTAATGCGTAATTTAAATTACTCAGTGTATCTAATTTATAAATGCAATGCTAGACTTTTTGGATATTCCGTCAGGGTATGAACATGTGTGCTATGAGATGTTTTGTAAAGAGATTTAGGTTCTTGGTGATGTTTAGGTTTGAACATGGATATTGTTTTTTATTATGTTTTTGTGTGTGTGTGTCTTTGGGTGTGCGAGTGTGTGTATTACATAAAATTCCCTTTGATATCACCAGGTATCCGTCCATAAAAGTCCCATTTGTTTGACAAAGCTACCACAGTGACTTTTTTTTTTTATTAAAACCCAACTTTTGCTCTTGTTTGTTTGCTCTCTGATCCTCATAAATACCTTCATGTAACATTTTTTTACATATGGCAAGTCAAACTATCCTCTTCCAGCAATTTTATATGTGCTGGCTGAGCTGAAAATGCACTTATTGCCAGTGGCTAACTGTGAATGGAGAGCCTTTGACATAATGAGAGGGTTGGTGCATGCGCAAGCATGCTGCCATTACTCATATCCGCTAACTGCTGTCGGCCTATTTTTACTGCTTTATAGCCGATGCCCTGTGCTTGTATTAAAATGCGTCATGACCTACAGTATGCTTTGTTGCCACTATGAGATGGTAAAAATAGATCAATAATGAGGAGTAAATGCTGTGTTTCTGCTTCTGTTTTAAATCCCCCTCTCCTTGGAAGTAAGTTATGCCAGTGAAGATGTGTGTCCTGTTTGTGAGTCTGTGTAGCTTGAGCGCGCGTGCGTGCGTGCGTGCGTGTGTGTGTGTGTGTGTGTGTGCGCGCGTGTGTGTGTATGTGAGAGTGTGTGAGAGTGTGTGTGCGTGTGCGTGCGTGTGCGTGTGCGTGTGTGTAGACTCTGCTGATGCTGAGGAACAGTACATATTTTGCCTGAAGGCTGTGAGCTCAGCCTGTGCCCAATTTATATAAAGGTGTGACAAATAAACCCTTGTTTCTCGTCAGTCTGGTTTCACTGCCTATCTATTGTCTCTCTGAACTTTATGGTGTCGAACATTAAGTTCCAGTGAGCGCAGCATGACATGTTCTGTCACTTCCGGATATCAGAGTCTGAACAGCAGAGCTCAGAGCTGGAGCCTCTGCACGAACATTATCTGCTGATTCATGTTTATCTCCTGCAGACATTTTTCCTCTGCACTGCACAATGCATCTTCTCCCTGCCAGTCAATGCAGATACAAGCAGAAATAACATTCATATGAACAGTGGTGGAAAGTATCAAAGTGCATTTACTCAAGTACTGTACTCAAGTACAATTTTGTAGTACTTGTACTTTACTTGAATATTTCCGTTTTTTGCTACATTTAATTTCCACTCCACAGTTCAGAGGCCAGTATTGTACTTTTCACTCTGCTATATTTATTTGATGACTAGTTACTTTGATTTAGATTATTAATGCAAAGCATAATCAACAAATAACTTATGATGTACTGTTATAGGTTAAGCAGGTTAATATTATCCAGATCTTTAAACATGAATGTATCAATAACTATAATCCAATAATATTATTCTATACTTGAGTAAATGTACTTGTGTTGTTATAATTTGTTGTTATTCTGCAGGTCTGTAATTTCTCCTGGTAAAAGTCTCTTGAAAATAACTATGTCATTTTGTACTTATTATAGGTAAAATAGAAATGATTTTTGAAATAACTGCTCCATTTAAACCCAAGTTAATATTCAATCATTTAATCATTTATTATTGGAAACTTCGTTCTTTTATATATGTTGAACTGTGTGCTTGTCGAAAGACAAATTTCACATTTAATTGCATGTTTCCTTGACCTGCTGACTAAACCATTCATTATATACATTAGCAATTAACTGGGAGTTTTGTCTCTGTTTTACCTTTATTTGGTACCAAATTAAATTTTTCTTTCCTATCAAATGTTCTAGCAAATTATTAGGAAATTAAGGACCCATGAATTTAAGTTACTGAGGCACTTTCCATATCCTTGTGCGTGTACTGTACATGCGTGTGCACAGGCATCTGTGTGTATTCATATTTGACAGAACTTCTTTATCAGTGAGTGCCAGCTGGAGGTACACACATTATCTCTCAGAGCGACAGTAAGAAACGCAGTCCTCTCTTGAAGACACACTCAGCACTGAAGGTAAGTCCCTCTCCTCTGACCTTGTCAAGACTCCTCTGTTCTGTAGCTTTCATCATATTATTTTATTATTATACACTAAAACAGGATGACCTTTGACCTACGTTCTTGCTCTCAAAATATCCTGGCAATTAGAAAGCGGTAGACTGCATGGTCTGACCTCAAGGTACTGACATCACAAAATTGTGGGCATGAAGGGAAGCAGAAGGGTTTTTACTGTCAATGCACTGGACTAACAAAACAGAGAAAAGAATATGTGTTGTAAAATGGACAATTTGTGCTTTTTTTGTTTGTTTTTTGTTGTTATATGAACCCATAATGCTGTAATAATACTATGTTTTATGAAAGTGTTTGATTCTAAACTTGTGGTACTAAAGTGATACTATAAACTAACTATAAACTAGTTTTAGTAAATTCAGTAGTTCAATGTACTCAATGTACATAGAGTGACCAGAATAATTTCCCAATAATCTGCACACTCTAACAGTCTTTGAATTGTAACACTACAGTCATCTTATTACTGCAGGACTCTTGTTGGATTGTATTAATTTCTATTTTCACATAATTTTAGATCCAAACAGAGAACGCATGTCCATTAATACACTTTGCTATATTTATTGACTTGCATGGCAGTTATCATTTAAGGGTTTATGTTTTTACAAACGTTAATGTTAGGTTACGTTTGCATATTCCTTCCAGTAACGGCTGAATGGTCTTTTTGTCGAAGCCTTGAGTTGATACTCTGCAGTGAATAGCCAGACACTAGATGTGGGAGAAGTTGTAATGTTCCTGTGCCTACACCCTCAAATGGTATCTGCCAAATATTTCAACCTTCAAGACATAAAAAATGGCTGCTCACACACAATGCAACTAATCAGAGGTGACTTGGATGAATCTCCTCTCCTGTCCTCCTCTCTCTCCAGAGATTGGTAAACATGAAGGGACTTCTGCTCCTGTGTATGCTCCTCCTGTTTGGAGGTCAAAGGTCATCAGCGTGCCCCCACCTTTGCTCCTGTGATGGCAGTCACGTGGACTGCAGCAGCAAGTCTTTCACCTCCTCCTCGCTGCCCACCAGTTTCCCTGCTGGGACCACCGAGCTCCGTCTCCACAACAACCTGCTGACCACCCTCCCTAAGGGGCTCCTGGATGATCTGACCTCCCTCCGCTCTGTCTCCCTTCATGGTAACCCCTGGGTGTGTGACTGTGGCGTCCTCTACCTGCGAGCCTGGCTGCTGCATCACCACGCCACCGTCACATTGAAAGTCAACTGCAGCTCTCCTCCCGCATTGAGAGGGCGGCTGGTGATGTACTTAACCGAGGAGGAGATCCTGGAGTCCTGCCACTACTGGTACTGTGACCTGGCTTTGGCCTCGCAGGTGTGTCTGTTTGTGTTCGTGTTGGTGCAGGTGGCTCTGCTGGTGGTTCTCATCGTGTTCCTGAAGAGGTTCGAGAGGCTGTCCAAGGAGGCGAGGAGAACCACAGAGGAGAGCTTCACAGCCGGGGAGAGTCTGAGGGAGGAGGAGTATGTACCTTTAAAGGACAATAACATGTGAGATGGAAAATGACTATTAGACAAAAAGAAGAAAAAGAGCTTTTTATCATCTGCACACAGAGAAAATGTCAATCAGATTACATTGTTTTTGTGTTTCAGAATATAATTTCAAAGTTAATTTTTTATGCACAAGCAGATGACACAGGAAAAACCACAATGAATAAGTAGGGAAACATAACAAATGCAGATACTTCCTAACAGGACATAAGTGGAGTGGTTTGTTAAATAATGTGAATCACTCGCGACATCACCAGATCACCACCTCCTTCCTTTAATTTCTAACTCATGTATGTCACTTATATACCACTGGAGAAGAGATTGAATAAAAATAACAAATAAAAACAGTCAGCACTCAGCACTGTAGAGTTTTGAGGCTAATACTGATATTGTCCTTTCAAAGTAAGAATTTCTATATCTGTTGGACAATGCTCATTTCATCCAGAGAAAAGGAGAGGCGCTGTAAAATGCAAAAAAGTGTGGAAATGCTGTCTATGCTGTTTTGCAGTTGTGCACAAAGAGCAAATTAAAATTTCTCTCTTTTCTGTGTTTGACAGCTTCCATCCTTTTTTCAGCGACAACATTTTTTTATCTCTGAAAACAGGAAGCCCTCTTCCTCTGTTTCCTGTGATGTATTCATTTAAAACATTAGAGAAGATAGTAAGGATCAGGATCCCTTTAGTTTGGTTAATAAAAAGTTGGGAACATTGCAGGCTTATGAAGTGTAATTTACAGAAATAAACTTGTCAGGGACCTGTGGTGGCCTTGTTATTTACCAGCCAACATATATGCTTGTTCCAATGGGCCTGAATCATAACCTTATTTCAGATGATAATATTGGTATTGCATGTTTATTCTGTGCACAGAATAGATCAACTTAGTCATGTACATATGGACAGTAAAGTCCACACACTTGTACTCATTTCACTCATTCCCAATTAATTTATTTTTGTTCACATGTCAAATATACCACATAATCATGCCACATAATGATTACAGGAAGAAACCACACAGGCCCTTTCTACCTTGACCAAAACCCATGTGGCTAAAATATCAAATTCCAGCTTTCCTTCTTCAAAGGCCCATGTGGTTGAAAAGCTGATAAATGATCATAGACGTAACAAGTAACACGTTTCCTGTACATAATCAGCACTTTGACATGTTTTTTTTTGTGGATGTGAGTCTAATCTTAACTGAAGCGTGAATGAGAAATTGTTATGTTTGAAATACTTAAAAAAATGTTATATCTGTGTAATAGCTGGCAATTTTATATGTTTTTCTAATGGCATTATATTTTTTCATTTATTTCAAGTTATTTGGCATTTTCTATTCATATATTGTGTAATTTGTTAATTATGCAAAAAAAAAAATATATATTTTCATCTTCATTACGGAACCGCATTCTGATCTTTTAGACACAAAACAAATGTGAAAGTTTTAATCAAAATGTATTCACAGTGCATGGCAATACTGCATATTTCTTTGTTAATATACTCTCTTAATCAATTTTATTGGATTATGGATTGCATTAATAAAGACGTTTAATTGGAAAATTAAATGCCCTTTTTTTCTCAAATTTATTTTAAATGGAAATATTAATTAATGGATCTTTTACTCTTGATAGCCTATATTGTTGTTTTCAACAGCGGAACCTTTCTTCGAAGACCTGGTTTCAGCTACGGACAGTTTTCCCTGATGGACTATGTTTACACGTGATGTCAGTGCAGAGCTGAAATTTCAAACGTGTTTAAATGTCTATTGCTGTTTGACCCGCTGAAATAAAAAAGGTTTGTATTTTTCAATATTCATAAAGATTTATTCGGTTGCGTAAATGACGTCAAACACCGCGATGCTTCAGGTGATTTTAGCTAGTTAGCTCGTTGTGGCTCTGGCATGGTGTCAGTTTTTTTCGTGATGTTTAACATTATAAGTTCTCATGTTTCTACTAGACGTCAGTTTAAAATGGGAAAACTTAGGAAGAAGCACAACTGGAAGGGGAGACAGCAGAGCGGCCCTCAACAACCAGCAGATGGAGAGAAGACGGAGGTTGTGGTGGAACTGCAGGGTGAGACTTTATCCAGAAACTGCTCCGATTCTTACGACCACCACTTATTGTTGTGGACGTGTGTTAGACATCCGAAGGTAAAGCCCTGAGCCTGTTTGAAACTTTCCGATTTGTGAAACTTTTAGTTTATTTGGGAAAAAATTGCAATTTCACTGCTTTTTTCACACCTAGGCCACATCAGACTGGGTCCAGATCAAAAACACCTACACTTGGACTTCTACAATCTGGACCAGCTTAGCGTGTTGAAAATACAGTTTCTGATTTGTGAAGCCTTTATTTTATTTGTGGAAACACAAAAGGGTGTCCTGGTCTAACTACATTGGACTAGTTTTTTTTTTTTTTTTTTAAATTAGACATGGTTTATTGTTGTCTGGAAAGAGCAAACAGTGAAATTGGCCTTATTGCCTGTATAAAGATGACAGTTCACAAGTCTGAAAGTAGGTTTAAACAGAGTTAAAGCTTTGACATTGATGTGTAGTAGCCTTTCACACCAGAAAGTGATGCAAAAAGTGTCATTTAAGTTTCCCTTTAACTTCAGTGTTGTCAGTCACTGTATGCTGTGTTTTCATCAGGTGGAGCCAGGCTAAAAGGTGTAGATGAGAGCAACGCTTTGGTCCTCCCAGCCAACAAAGCCAAGAAGTCGAAAACCTCAGTGACACCGGTTTCCACCAAAAAGCCCCTCACCAAGAAGCAGAGGAAAGAGCTGCAGAAAGTGCTGGAGCGCAAGGAGAAGAAAGCTCAGGTGAGCGACAGGTTGATGCTGCAGGTTCAGACAAAAACCGTGCAGCTTTAAGAAGAAAGTAATTTCTCTAACCAGGTTTTACAAACAGTCTTTTTAGCAAGGGGAACGCAACTTTTATCAAGTATATATCAACAGTTATAACCACAATAATGTTTCTAGTTGTGCTGAAACGAACCAGTTGAACAGTTTTATCTTTACTCGGTTATTCACTGTAACTCATTCTGCGTAAGATTATCAGATATATTAAACATACAATTTAAGTGAGTCTGCCAACAAGACTTTAGTCAAATTTGATATAAAGAACTAGATCACAACCCACCGATGTGTCTGTCTGTCCTGTGCAGAGAGCAGACATCCTGACCAAACTGGCCGAGGTGCAGCTTCCAGACTCTGAACTGAAGCTGCTGTACACCACGTCCAAACTGGGAACTGGAGACAAACTTTACCAGACTAAACAGTGAGTGCACAAATACACTGTATTAGCCAAGACGTGGAGGAGGAGGATGTGGTGAAGGTGGAATCAGTGGTTTAATATTTTTGGGTCATTTTCAGGACGTTGGATGAAACAAAAGACGGAGACTCGGGTCCAAAGATCAGCAGCGTCAGTGGAGCGAACAGGAAAAGAAAATGGAGAGAAGAAGAGGAAGATGAAGAAGAACAAAAGGCAGAAGAAAGTAGTGACCTGGACACTTCCTCTGATGATGATGATGAGGAGGAGGAGGATGAAGAAGTGAATCAAACCACAGAGATGGATGAAGTTAAGGAAACCACCTCTCCCACTCAGGAGACAGAGGACAAACAGGGAGTGAAGGAAGAACAACGGAAAACAAAACAAGATGGACAGAGTGAGAAGAAGGTTTTAGATCAGCAGAAAGTTCAAGACAAGAAGCCGTCGCAGCCGGCGATCTTCATCCCTGTTGACAGATTACCAGAAATACAGGTCTGTGCTCACCGCATGTTTGTCGAGAGTCTCAAGTGTTTTTTTGTTTGTGATTGATTGATTCAAGTGTATTTCATTCTGTTGCTGTAGGACGCTCGTCTGAAGCTGCCCGTGCTGGCGGAGGAGCAGGTCATCATGGAGGCAGTGAGAGAAAACCCCTGTGTCGTCATCTGCGGAGAGACAGGAAGTGGAAAGACCACTCAAGTTCCTCAGTTCCTGTATGAAGCCGGCTACGCCAGGTAGTTTATCCTCTCTGTTGGGCAGTCCTTAAATGCCTCACTGGATTTTTTACAGAGAATAAAAGGCTTTTATGTGGATAAACATTCATGTTATGTGTGATTGCATGTGGTTACAGTTCTGCTTCTTTCTGCAGTGGCAGTGGGATTATTGGCATCACAGAGCCGAGACGAGTAGCAGCTGTCAGCATGTCTCACAGGGTGGCCAAAGAGATGAACCTGTCCACACGGTAACAAAAATATATATTCTTTGATATAATATACAGACTATTCATGTACGAAGCCTCTTTGTGACAGACTTGGAAACGGAAATATTGCTTACATTTTTTAAATATGTATCTATGGTCAATCCTGTGCCCAGGGTGGTGTCTTACCAGATCCGATACGAAGGGAATGTGACCGACGAGACCAAAATCAAGTTCATGACAGATGGTGTTTTACTGAAGGAGATCCAGAAGGTACCGTCTTTACTCTGCACTGAGTTATTTAAATAAAATACTGTAAACATGACGGAAAATCAGAATTAAATACTGTTTTCCTGCATTTCTCTACAGAGAGAAATGAAAATAGACATGAAAAACATGACTTTTTTTTTTACATTTGACATTTGACAGAATGAAAAACATTGATTCCTTACAGTGCTCTTCTTTATTATCATCTCATAAATGATGAAAAAAGAATGAAGACACATGTCCCTGCTGCGTTCATGTAGTTTTAAGGGAAACCACATTTATATTTCATACTGAACCCATTTTAATGTTTGAAGCATCGTGTGAAAGATCAAGTTAGTTTTACTAAGTTATTACTATTATTTACTATTATTACTAATAATAGACTTGTTTATAATACACAGTACATTGAATCTGTATGAGTCTTTTAACTGCTTCGATATCGTGTCTGTCTTTTCTCTTAGGATTTCCTGCTCCAGAGATACAGTGTGATAATCATAGATGAAGCCCACGAGAGGAGTGTGTACACCGACATCCTCATCGGACTGCTGTCTCGTATCGTCCCGCTCAGAAACAAGGTGAGAGACGCAGCTGCTGTTTGTGGTGTGAAAAGTCCGAACCTTAAAGACTTGCAGGGGGTTTTCTTTCCATCAGCATCTTCCTGTTGGATTAACCTGTTGTTTCACATCGGCATGTCCGCCATCTCTCTGCAGAAAGGCATGCCCATGAAGCTGCTGGTCATGTCGGCTACTCTGCGGGTTGAAGACTTCACAGACAACCAGAAGCTGTTCCGGATTCCTCCACCCGTCATCAAGGTGGACGCCCGCCAGTTCCCGGTCACTATCCATTTCAACAAACGCACCCCGCTGGAGGATTACACCGGAGAGGCTTTTCACAAGACCTGCAAGATCCACCGGATGCTGCCTCCAGGTGCCCAAACAGACGGTCACATCTAACAGATTTAGTAGTTTTCAGCATTAACGTTTATTTACTACAAAACTAAATAGACCTATAAAGAAAGAATAGATGTGTTTGTTGACATTTTGCAGTGGGATGCATGAAGAATTACAAATTGTTAAACATTTATATGTATCAGTGTAGTTTAATTTAACTTTCACACACACTCACTACTCCCCTCATACCATGTCTGTGCCCCTCAGGTGGTATCTTGGTGTTTCTGACCGGTCAGGCAGAGGTTCACAGTCTGTGCAGAAGACTGAGGAAAGCTTTCCCCTTCAGGAAGAGTAACACAACCACCGGTGAGTGTAACACACACCTGTTTTGTCCCCTCACACTCTGACGTAATTCTGGGCAGAGGTTTTGTATATTTACTTTTTTTTTTGTGTCCAGGTGAAGACGAAGAAGCAGACACCTCAGAGGCGATGAGGAAGTTTAAAAAGGCCAAACAGAAGAAGACTGTCGTGAGTCTACTTTTTGTGAAATGCCCCTAAAAGCCTCTCTAGCTTAAAATACCCTTTTGATGGGTCCTTAAAGCTGCTTACATCTTTGACACTTATTTCTTGTGTACATATTTTAAGAGTGTTATTTCTGTCTCCAGTCTCTGCCCAGGATCGACTTGGATAACTACTCCGCCCTGCCGGTGGATGAAGGTGACGAGGACAGGGAGGCGGGGATCGGAGACGAGGAGGATGAAGGCTCTGACCTAGATATCGGAGACGATCCCAGCAATGAAGGCAAGCTGCTCCAGATTCCTCAAATCCAGTTATATGTATTTCACTTAAGTGTCCTTACAAATTCTGCTGTGCTGTGTTTCATCTTTTAGAGGAGAAGGCGGACCCATCCATTCCTCTGTATGTCCTCCCGCTCTACTCTTTGTTGGCCCCAGAGCAGCAGGCCAAGGTAAGATTAACATGTCGGCACTAAAACGGATGGAAATAGGATTGTATTTTAGCATTAAAGTATATTTATAAAGAGTGAACAAAATGTGGAAACCCACAGGAGAGTCTGATAACGTGTGTGTGCTTCTTGCCTGCAGGTGTTCAGGCCTCCTCCTCCTGGCACTCGTCTGTGTGTCGTGGCCACCAACGTGGCCGAGACGTCTCTGACCATCCCCGGCATCAAGTACGTGGTTGACTGCGGTCGAGTTAAGAAACGTTTCTACGACCGAGTGACCGGAGTGTCATCTTTTAAAGTCACATGGACCTCACAGGCCTCCGCCAATCAGAGGGCGGGTAGAGCGGGACGCACAGAGCCGGGACACTGCTACAGGTCGGGACTTTAAAACTGCATAACAGAGTGACCACACAGATGTTTTCTTCACTTGGGGAAGATATTCACAAGTGTTTGTCTTTGTGCTTCTGCAGGTTGTACTCGTCTGCCGTGTTTGGAGACTTCAGCTTGTTCTCTGAGGCAGAGATCACTCGCAGGCCTGTGGAAGACCTGGTTTTACAGATGAAGGATCTCAACATAGATAAGGTCAGTAAAAAGGGAACAACAGCAGGTTTCTGAGTGAAATGCTGCTGTATGAATATAAACGGCTTCATATTTTCTTTTTGTGCAGGTGGTCAATTTTCCCTTCCCCACGTCTCCCTCTGCCGAGGCTCTTGTTGCAGCAGAGCAGTTATTAGTCTCGCTGGGAGCGCTGAAAGAGCCGCCTCGCACTGGAAGGTAACTGTCTGTCGCTGGCTCTTCTGTTTGTTTCCTGCCTTGACAACAGTCTCTGGCTTTTTTCTTGGATTACATTCCTATTAATTAAAACAAGAATGTTGAGGGATATTTATCAGGTTCTTACAGAGAAGCAAAGTCATATCATGAAACAAAGGTGTATTCTAATTTGAAGTTATTTGAGAGAATATTAAATTTAATTGTAGAACTCAGGAATTTGTAGAACTCGTTAAGATTTTGATTGACAATTCGTCAGACCAATGAGAATAACAGAAATGGGTGTTATTAGGTTATTTTTTATTACACAGGGAAGTCAGATGTTCCAGTGCCAACCTTCATGGCCCCTTCCTTAAATCCTGTCACCTAATCAGCCTTTTATATTTTCATTTAGAATTTTGACTGTGTTGTAATTAGAGGATTTTCTTTTATTATTAGGGTAAAAGAGATGGAGCGAGCGAGGCTGAGCTGTCCCATCACCCCCCTTGGCAGAGCAATGGCTTCTTTCCCCGTGGCACCACGTTATGCTAAAATGTTAGCGCTCGGGAGGCAGCAGGATTGCCTGCCGTACGTCATTGCAGTGGTAGCAGCCATGACAGTCCGTGAGATCTTCGAAGACCTTGACAGGTGAAGACGCATGTTTTCTCTAATGATATGTGTTTTTAGATAAACATTTAATTGTTCTTCAATGGGGCGCCATGACACACGAGGTTCTGGATTCAACCAGGTAGGAAGTGAGCGCAGAGCAAAACAGAGTGTCATGTCTTTGCAAGGTAGAAGCTTTGGTTATGGATTTTTACCTTTTTCCATATAAAAGTGCTGATAACAAATTCTTCCAGTGGCCACCTGGTGGAGCTAGAGGTATCATTGAACTGATATAATAATAACTGAAGGTCTGGACTAAAGGGAGTAGATAAGGAATGTACCCCATCTCTTTAATTCTCCGAGTCTTTTAAGACTTCATTATAGTTGTGTTTAATGTATCAAGGGAAAGATTGATAGGCAAGTATTTAAAACAACTGGAATACTAAAGGAAGGCATCTGCCCACTTAATTCACCCAGTGGCATTAATGCTGATTTTTCACTGTTAATTTTGTATCCGGAGATGTGAGAATGATCTAGAGGGATTTTTGGTAAAGAAAGAAATATTGTCCCTGTACAAGGAAATGTGATGGTCTAATGAATCTAATCTAATGAAAAAAGATACTATTGTTTTCTGACCTTGAAGCTGAATCTACTTTTTTTGTAATCTTACGTTTTTCCTTTTCGGTTGATCAGTGGATTAACCACCTAAAGCCTCTCTCAGTTATTTAAGTTAAACAACCTGTTTAATTTAATCTGTGGCAGAAAATCCCTCTGGATAAAATCTCTCTTGGCAAACTTACATTTGCTTCATTTTACATAATATAATATTCCTATATTTACAAAGTGTCATTTCCCTTTTATTTCAGGACAGAGTCACAAAAAAGATTTACTTTCTAGAATTATGCGCACAGTAAAAACAAGGCCGACATGGCTTTCATGGCTCTTGCTTTTAATGATAACAAACTGCCAAAATGGTGAACCACGCATAACAAAATTACAGTAAGTCTAAACCATCTATCTGGTGGTGTTTTAAAACTAAACAACTGAAACTACTAATTAACACCACAATGGACATTGCAAGAGCACTAAAATGTACAGCACCCTTTGGTCACAGGCACAGAGTCTCTTAAGTATTTTACGTCTTTGTGCAAGAGAAGGTCATAATGGTAAAGTCTGTAAATCTATTCATATTTTACAGTTTTTAGAAGGTGTAACTGTCGCAAATCCACATGTATTACACAACCATTACTAATTATTGTATTGACAGTGGTTATTAATGAGATATTGGCTTCAATGCATCATTAATCAGCAGCCTGTGATAGTACTGCAATACGTAGCCAGAGTGTGGGTTCTCTCATTCCTGCTGGTCTTCTCTCCGAGGGGACGTCTTCCTCAGTGGTTGAGTCAGGTGCCGCCACATTACTGCACACTGCAGCTTAAGAAAGCACAAGCCGAAAGTCAAAACATCAGAAAATGAAGAAAATTTGAAAAATCTGCAAGTAGTACCGAACAAACAAAACATGAAGTTAGAGCACAAAATAGCTGAAGGGGACACAAAAAGATGATTCAATTGTTGGTAGTGAGTAAAAGGCGAACGTAAGGTGTGTAGCCAAGAAGTATTAGTGGAAGTGTTTATCAGCTTTAGCCTCCCTTGGAAATCATCTTGACGTTGAGCACAGAGAACATCAACGTATTTGCTCAAGAAGTTTCCAAACCAGCTCAATCATTCAGCACAAATAATTACCATCAACTACCAGATTATAACACTTCAACAAATCTTTCATTTACAGGGTTTACATGGTTCATGGTTCATTTACATGGTTTCTAGATAATGAATCATTTGTTTTACAGCAAATATCATGCTATCACAACACTAAAAGAAGAAGACTAGAGGAGCTTCATTTGTATTTCTTCTAAAAAAGTTTATAAGTGAATATAAAGAGTAATCCGTTTTCACCAAGGTGAGCAACAAAATCAAAGTTTAGATTTAATTTTATTTACCAGCAGTTTGAATCCCTGTTGGTCTCTGGAGAATCCCTCGACAGAGTAATGTCCTCTTTAGCTTCATTACTGGGCCATTGGAAAACTCTCACAGAACTACAGTAAAACAGTAACGGTAAAACAAAATAAGTAAGAAATTAAATTCACATATTGTATATGCAAAGTGTAGTGCACCTGACAATAAGACACATTAACCTGTGAGGGCCTTCTCCATCGCTGCAGGCAGTCCCCTGTGTGGTATCCTGGCCAAGCAGAGGGCAAAAACACACAAGATAAACGACATAAAAATGTGTCCATTGCATTAGACCAGATCCTTTGTTCATTTTAATGTTTACTTTAAAATAGCTGGAAGTGACCTCACCTGTTGGAAAGAAATGGGAAATGTTTCATCGTCATAGACGATTACACCAGGACATCCAACAGGATTGTCCACACATTGAATAGAAATATGCAATGTAATCAAAAATGTTTTATGAAAATCAAGTGTATCATTTCTTTGGCCCTGTTACAAATACTAAACTGTACCACTTTAACTGCAGTGAGCTTAAATCACTCTACTATATGCTAACAATACTCAACAACAATACTCAGTAGTCATTACTACATTATTACATGAGCGTTCGGTGCTCAGGGGTCAGACTGCACAAATCTCCATACTCTGCTTCATTTTGATCTTAACCTAACTGCACCTGTAACATTTTGGGACTGTATCTTGTGATGCTATTGCTGAGACCAACAGACATATACGCTCCTGCCAAAGTCCTCAAACGTGCCACTGTGGTAGTTCCAGCTACAGTCGGAGTCTCTAGGACCACGTTTTGCCATGATGGCGCATGGGCTCAAAGTCACGCAGTCACGGCTGGGAGCGAGCAAACTAGAGTGATTCAGTCAATTCAGCAAGTCAACCTAGGTCCAAATACAAACCTCCAAAACTGCAGCACTTCAATATACTTTACCAAGCTCTTGGACAGGTTTCTTTCATTTCAGCCTAAAATGTGAAAACTTACATGGGTTTCATCAGAGCTCGCCATCGTACAATACTTCCCGTGCGCGGTTACGTCAGATTAGTGTTACGTATTGTACTAATATATGTCCAGCAATGTTGCGCATGTCAAAAATGCTGTTCAGATAATTGCATGAAACCCTTTCTTTGCACTTGGTCATTTTTTTAAAAAGTGTTTGTCATTTGTGTCAGACTGTTTACAATATGTAGAATAAAACATAATTTATTTTTAAAATAACATTTACTCCGAAAAATATAAAAGTACTTCTCTCACTCTTAAAAAAAACTACTAAAGCTACTAACTTTAAGCAGGTTTCCAACTAGGCATTCACGATGCACCTGATGAGACACGATTCAACATGTGTTCCCATGTTAAGTGCAGAAATTCAGAACTCTTATTCTGCTGGAAAGGTCTGAAAAAGCTCACCTCTTTTTTTCAAAGCCCAAGTCCGAATCTTGATAAAGTTGGTTGTCCTATTTTCCTGGTTGTCCACGTTGAGGTAAAGACATACTATCTGAGGAAAAGGAGAGATTAACTAATATTAAACTGTGAAAGGCGGTGGAGAGAGTTCTGTGTTGGGTCTTCTGCATTAGAGCTATAAACTTTTTACTGCTGTTGGTTCAACCTTAGATCAAGACACAAAAAAGGAAGTTAATTTGTTTAGTTCCCTTAATTTTGCATATGGATCACCTGTCCAAGTTCAACAAATCAGACAGGTAGGCTACTCTTTGACCTTCCCTGTTGTCACTCACCCTCTGAAACTACTGGACATTTAGGTTTAAGATCAAAAGACAAATATGAGACAAGAGTTCAGAATTTCAACTTTTATTTCTTGGTATTAAGCTACATATAGACATAGATGTAAAATACCTAGACATAGCATTGTCTTAAAGTAATTTAAGATAAACAACATATACCATTTGGTCGTATAACCTTTGCTTGCAATAACTGCGTCAAACCTGCAACGCAATGACATCACCAAACTGCTGCGTCGTTCATGTGTAATGCTTTTATTATATGTGGACAGACATACAACAGTGAAGCTGTAAGTTAGCTATGTTTTTATATTTCACACACATCTTTTTCTCTCCTCAGACCTGCAGGTAATGAAGATGAGAGCGCCAAGCTCACCCAGCGTCGAGCTCGGCTGACCCAAATGAGGAGGTTGTGGGCTGGGCAAGGAGCCTCACTCCTACTGGGGGACATCATGGTCATGCTGGGTAAGCTTACATTTGTTCAGATTTGACTGAACTGTATTGAACTGTATATTGACTTTAAAGGTCCCACGATGCGACTTCAGAGTCAAAATCTTCCTCTAGGTTTCAGCATGAATAAAGATTTCATGGTGAGAGTTCAGGAGGCTCATGGTTTAAACAAGTTAACTGAGACTTGGTTGAGGAATGATTGATTGAGGCACATAAAAGTCTATGATCACATTTGATTTATTTCTGGATACATGTGACTGCAGGTGCAGTTGGTGCTTGTGAATTTGCTGGCTGTACTCCCAAGTTTTGTGAGGAGAACGGCCTCCGGTATAAAGCCATGGTCGAGATCAGGAGGCTCAGAGGACAACTTACCAACGCAGGTACTCACATGCAAGAAACACAGAAAACCTAACACACATCTGCTGCAGAAACGCAACCGAAAATCATTTGTGTTCTCTCCTCCCAGTGAATGCAGTGTGTCCAGAGGTGGGAGTATTTGTAGATCCCAAGATGACTCCACCGACAGAGCACCAGGTGGTTTGCTTGCGGCAGATTGTTTTGACTGGACTTGGAGACCATCTTGCTCGCCGTGTGCAGGCGGAAGATATACTGGACCCAAAATGGAAGAATGGATACAAGGCAAGTTGCACTGAGGACTGTAATTGCTTTTTAGAAGAATGAACTTTGCTGTCGCTCTCCTTCACCTCCTCACCTTTATCTGTTGTGGTTCTCAGACGGCTCTTATGGACGACCCGGTGTTCATTCATCCCACGTCTGCACTGTTTAAAACGCTGCCAGAGTTTATCGTCTACCAGGAGATCATGGAGACCACCAAGATGTACATGAGAGGTAAATCATCATGGACAAAAGGACAGTAAGGTCACTGGTGTCACAGTGTCTTCTTTGCGCTGACATAGAGCGAGCTGTCAAATGTGAGAAAACAGGGGCTTACTTACCCTCACATGTCTTCCTCCCTGTTTGTGTCAGGTGTATCAGCAGTAGAAGCAGAGTGGGTCCCTCAGCTTCTGCCTCAGTACTGTCATTTCGGCCCCCCTCTCGACCCACCGTTACCGTGGTTCTGCTCGACCGCCGGCACCGTCAGATGTCACCGTTCAAGCACCTTCTGTAAGTTCTCTACAGCTGAGCACCAGAGCTGTGTTTGTGCCGACAGGCGCCTCTGAGTCATTTCCGTGTCTTCTCCTGCAGTCCGTGTGGGGTGGCAGCTGCCAGCCGTGGAGATGGAGTATCCAGACGGCCTGGAGCGCTACAAACTGTTTGCCAAGTTTTTTCTTGAAGGACAGGTACTGCAGTGAAACCTGAAAGTCCCCCATCTCTCTTAAGTCTTCACTTAAGTTTCAGCTGGGCATGAAAACTTGAACCTTACCATTCTGTCCAATCCTAAACAGTCGTGAACACTGCTAGAGCTCAAAATAACTCTGATATTCTTAAGTATTGGTAGCCTTACCAACTATTGATCCCGCTCCCTTTATTGTTTATTTAGATCACTACTTGTTCTTAACTTGGTAAAATATTAAAATATACGATATAATCAACAAATATTTACACTTATGCTCCACACCCAAATGTTCTTGTGTTTCTTATTCATAGACCAGACATGGCCATTGAACAGGCGGGGGGGTTCTTGCACCATGCTGTTACACTATCCTCACTACACCCAACTCAATAAAATGATATTAAAACCAAACACGACATAAATGATCATCAAATCAATCCAAAAATGATTGGGAATTCAAAAAATTACATTGAAGTTTAAATTCTTAAGTATATTAACCATTTCATGTCTTCAGAAAAGTTTTTGTCTAAAGAAACGTGTTGTTCCACCTGCATTGTTCTCTGTGCCCAGCAAAAAAAAACAAATGCACTAAATAGGAAAAAGAGCATAAAAATCCCAAATCAAATCCTGCACCAGACAAAACCAGACAGGTCTTGTTTAGTAATGTTGTCTGCTTTGCAGGTTTGTCCTCAACTAAAGAAACACACTGGTCACCTTCTCTCAAACCCCTCCATCATGATAAAAACATGGGCAAAGTAAGTTGGCTCTCTCTCTCTCTCACACACACACACACACACACACACACACACACACACCTCTGCCCTCTTTGTGGCATTTCACCATTTTTGTCATAGATTGACTTGTTTCAAGGAAGAACTTTTCCTCTGCTCTTGTGTCTTTGCTGTTGTAGACTGCAGCCCAGGACGGAGGCTGTGCTGGGACCGCTGGTGTCAAAGAGAGTTGACTGCAGAGAAACTCTGCTTTCCGTCTGGAAGACTGAAGATAAATGTGAGGATTTAATGTGCTTGGTATCGCTTGTGCGAGTCTGATTTGATAAGACTTGTTGTCATGTAATCATGTTTTCTCATGTATCTTTCTCCTCCTACAGTTCTGCTGTCTGCATACTGTCAGTGGATTCCTGAATCCATGCATCAAGAAGTTGCCAAAAGCTGGCCTCCTATATAAAGACTTGATTTGAAAAGCAGAAATTATGTTATGGACTTTTGTGACCAGAGACTTGCATTGACCTGCAGATGGACACAACCCCTTTCTTCACTCAAGAGGAGCTTCTTCAGACTCTGCTAATGTTTTTAAATGATCTCTCGAAGTGCAACTATCACCACACAACATGGCCTTTTCACCATTTTGTATTTTATATACACCGTATCAATGATTTGTACAGTTTTGTCTGGAATACAATATTTCAACTAGAGCTCTATAATGACTTTTAACTTGTTATCAGTGTGCTGCTGCTGTCAGTTATATGTCTGACTTGGTCTTCATAAGACTTATTAAAACTGGGTGGCTCTGAGTACAGCTGTGGTGTGATTTATTTATACTTCATGTAAACTGTGGTTGAAAAATATTAAAGGGCAGCTGCAATGATTTTACACAAAAGGTGTACCATTCAGCCTGGGAATAGCCTGTGAAAAACATTTGTAAAATGTCTTGCTTTGCTTTGGAGGAGCTTTGTGAACTTTGAGAACACAATCCTTGTGATGTCAGATGGGTTATCTCATCTTGTGGATGGAGACATAAATTGTTTAAAGGAAAGCCTGTGTTACAAGCTTGTAGAGAGGGGTTACAAATACACATACTGTGCAAAAAATTTAGACACTTCAAGTAAAGGAGGGATGCTTTCAATAGTTATCAATTAACTTAATGCAAAGTGCAGTTAACAGAAATAAACTAAATCAGTATGTGGTGAGAATACCTCTTTGCTTTTAAAACACCACCAATTGTCCTGGGTACCCTTGTGCGGAGTTTTTTTTTTAAACAATAGGTTGTACCAAGAAGTGGAGAATTTCCAACTTTTGTGAATTTAGGATGTCTCAGTGTCTTCTGCCACTTCATGTAATCCCAGACTGACTCCATGATATTAAAATCAGGGATCTGTGTGGGCCAGACCAGCTGTATGTATGGGGTTGTCCTGCTGCGGAGTTAATTTGGGACTAATCAGACGACTTCCTGATGGCAATGTGTGATAGATAAGAATCAAAACATCTTGAGTGCCTAAAACGTTTGCACAGTATTGTATGTAGAATATATCTCTTATCCCGTCCTCAAACTTTATGTTGAAATTTCCCCTTTAGCACATTGTGTCTTTGCTAGTTAATCTTTGGTATTGTAATGGGAAACTAAAGGCGAAGTAGTTTTATCATCTCAAAAATGCAGGATTTACAAAATTTAAAGAAACATTTAATCGAAAATGACTTATTTCAAAAGGATGCTGTGATTGGCCAGCGTCAGACGTGTCGTCATATCCCTCCGTCGGCTTGTACACTTCCGGAAGAAGCGGAAGTCAACAGTGGAAATTGTCAGCTCATATGTGATAGTTTCATATTGGAAAACAGAAACAGACACTTAATTTGAGTCGCTTGACAACCAAAGACACGAACCGTCGACATGGTGAGTAGCACTCTGCTTTTGTTCACGGCTGCGGACGAATTAGTTTCAAAACAAACCGTTGGAGCAGTTAAGCTGTCGAGCGGCGACAACAACAACACGACGACAGCAGCAACAGAAACATGCTCTGTCATGATGAAATTTAAGTCCTGCCCACTCACGGGAAAATAGCAGAAATATGTTCTTGTTATTAATAGGATTTGGGGTTTTTCCTCCACAGTTTTCATTCCAGGTGTTCGACCACCCGATGTCCCGGGGGTTTCAGAACCGCTTCTCCACTCAGTACCGCTGCTATTCGGTGTCCATGCTGGCAGGACCAAACGACCGCTCCGACGTTGAGAAAGGAGGCAAAAGTGAGTGATAAACAAAGAAATGCAAATTTGCTTTCATGTCCCCAGTCTGTTCTGAACAAAAAGCCAAACCCTAAGAAATATACTGTAAGTCCTAAATCATTAACTATACCTAATCAGCAGAAAGCAGCCAAAGTAGCTCATAACTCCTGTTTGGATGCAGTGTTTCTCAAATTGAGCATCCCCACACAGCGGTGTGTGAAGTATTGAGACCCTTTATTTAAATACAACTACTTATACCACCCTGTAAAAATACTCAATTAGAAGTAAAAGTCCTGCATTTAAAAAATTCCTTAAAGTAGAAGCATGTAAGTTCAATCAAGAAAATGTTTATGAAAGTGTTAAAGTTTAAAATACTCAATGCAGAAAAAATATGAAACACAAATCATCCCTGCATTCAGGAGTCTTCTCTCCACTGTTGACTCATTTAAAGCCTCTTGAACCCATCTTTTTTTGTTGTCCCTGAAACTCTAACAGATGTTTTTTGATTCCGGTTCTTTCCAATATGTAGATGCCTGTGCTAAAACAGTGCTAAAAGCTGCAATGCTTTTAGTTTAAGACAATAGACTTTGTAAGACTTTTACAAAGTAGTAATAGTTTTCTTTTTTCTTTTTGTGATGATATTTGCTTTATTATGACTAATAAATTAAATATGTAGTATCATAAGTCACATAAAATGTAGCTTTATTTTTACTCAAATAATTTTCGATATATTGTTTGAAGTCATAGTTTAAAAAAAAAAAAGAATTCATTAATTTTACCATTTGTTTCCTACATTGGCTCCTCAAGGTTTTATTTTTGAGAACTTACGTTGTTTATGTCTCAAATAACCATTTGTTTTCCTTTCAGTTATAATGCCACCTTCAGCTCTCGACCAGCTCAGTAAGTACAGGTTAAAGCATCTCTTCATTTGAAAATGCCTGTAAGGATGCATGCACCGTGTTTCTTATCTTTCTCCACCTTTCCCCTCTACAGGCAGGCTTAACATCACCTATCCAATGTTGTTCAAGCTTACCAACAAGAACTCAGACAGAATGACACACTGTGGTGTTCTGGAGTTTGTGGCAGACGAGGGAATCTGTTATCTGCCACACTGGGTGAGAAGCAGTAACAAGTAAAATGCCGGTGTCGCAGAGATTGAAATGTCTGTTGTCACTAGTGGATGTTGAAGACGGATAATTATACTGTATTGATATTTTATGCAAATACAACTAAAAGAACCAGCATAAAAATCTATTTGGGAAAATGAAAATGTAGTTAATAAAAGTAACTTTAATGATGGAAGTGGTCTTTAGGATTTTTATAGATGCAGAGATAGAATCTATATGTTTGTTATTGTGTCTGAAATGCTCTTTGCTGATTAAATGCTTTTTAAGCCACTTGTTAAGGCAGCACTGATATTTGATACCCGTTGCTGCAGATGATGCAGAATCTCCTGCTGGAGGAAGGCGGTCTGGTCCAAGTGGAAAGCGTTAACCTCATGGTGGCCACTTACTCAAAGTTCCAGCCACAGAGTCCCGACTTCCTTGACATCACGAACCCAAAGGCAGTGTAAGAAATATCGGTTAGGGAAAATAAATTTCCCCTTTTTTCACATTTTGTGTTTAACTAAAGTAATTAAGTTGTCACTTTATTACAGACTGGAGAATGCATTGAGAAACTTTGCCTGCTTGACGACTGGTGACGTCATAGCTATCAACTACAATGAAAAGGTGACTTGGTTTATTCAAATTATTGTTGACGTAATATGTGAATATGGTTTTTGTCTGTATTCCTTTTTACTGAATACCACTGCAAATGGAATATGTGTGTTTGTTTCAGATATATGAGCTGCGAGTCATGGAGACCAAGCCAGATAAAGCAGTATCCATCATCGAGTGCGACATGAATGTATGACCTTCTATTTTATTACAGACACTGTAAATTATTCTATTTCTGTTTCAATCAACGTGTTTAATACTGTGCTGTGACTCTGTTTCTCAGGTGGATTTTGATGCACCTTTGGGTTACAAAGAGCCTGAGCGACGACCTCACCACCAGGAAGAACCAACAGTAAGGACCAAACCCTAAAGGCATCTGTACAGCTTGTGCTCTGAACAATTAAATAAAACTCATGTCTTCACAGGAGGAAGAAGGAGATCCCAGCAGTTACGCTGATATGGACACAGGATTCAGAGTGAGTAAATGTTGCTGTGGGTTACAGACAAACGACTGTCCTCATGACTACTGATAATTGAAGTTAATGTAACTTCCAATCTGTTTCTCATCCTCAGGCTTTCACTGGGTCTGGCAATCGTTTGGATGGTAAAACAAAAGGGATTGAGCCCAGCCCAGCTCCTCTTGGCCCTAGTGACATTAAAAGGTGAAAAATTATGCAGCATTGTCTACATGTAGACATGAAATGGCCTAACAATAAATATTGTAACACAATAGTTTAACTATTCAACATGATAAATCTACAACATAATGCATTCCTGCCTCACACTAAGATTTTTGTTTTAGCTTTTTAAGCCTTTATTAGACAGTAGACAGATGACGGATAGGATCAAATCACCCATAGGCTGGGTGTAGTTAGGTGAGCTGAACTGGCACATTCAGTGTGATGCAGTGAGGCACAGCAGAGGTCAGTCCATGCACACTGGCGTAGATGCTAGCAAAGTTCTGGCAGTCGAGTGAGCAGTTTGTATCATATTCTCCCTCTTGCTGGTGCTACAGACTGCTGATGCCATGTGAGTGACTGCTGTGGTAGTGTTGATCATTGCAGGGAATAACAAAAGGCCACAATGTTTATGAGGCATCTGATGTCAGACAATTTGCAAACTCAGATTGTGTCCACACTCTTCTAATTTTCTATCTTTGGGTTTCTCCAGGCATTAAACTCTGCTGCTTGTTGCTCACTTGTGTCACCATGTCATCTTATTTTGCTGTCACATGACATGGTCAGTTTGGTTTTAGCAGATGGAATATGTAGTGTGGCCATTAAACCAATTGCAAAATGCAACAATAATCTCACCTTGGCTTACAATGTCTGACTGCTAGGATGTGTTGAAATATTATCTTTGCCAAAATTGCACAATGTGACACATTAATTCATGAGATGGTCAGAGTTTGTGGAGACCCTTAGTGGCACCTGTTCAATCTTTATTTTACTATACTACAATAACCATACTATCAGTGTTTGTTTTAAGAATAAATTCCTAATCTTCAATTCTAATTCTTCATCACACAGGGGCATTCCCAACTACGAATTCAAAGTTGGCAGGATCACCTTCATCAGAAACTCGAAGCCTCTGCCCAGGAAAATTGTAGATGATGTAAGAAATGTGAATGATATTGTCAAATGTTTGAATGTTGCAGTTCCTCACAATCTGTAGTCCTGTACAATCCCTTCCTATTGCATTTGAACTTCATAGTTTTATTATGTGATTTACATATTTATATTGAATTCTTTTTATCTCTTCCATTTATTTAGGGCTCGTGTTGTTGGTTTCCAATTACAACTAATTTTAAATCTCTTTTAATCCTCTCAGGATGACGCCATGAACAGATTCATCGCCTTCTCTGGACAAGGACAGTCACTACGCAAGAAGGGCAGAAAGCCTTGAAGAACTCAAAGTGGAGAGGCTGGTTTATGTGCACAGACCCAACATCTATTTTCACCTTCAACAGCAAAGTAAAAAACTGGCCTTCAGATGCACTGAGGTTTTGCCTCTGTCCTTTTTGAAATGGGAGTGTTGCTGTTTTGTTTGGGATTATAAAAACTCTCATGGTAATATTTTGCTCATCAGAAGCTGATCTTGGGGGGGGGGGGGGGGTAATTTGAGCCAAACAGAATAAATTATACCACCGCCGACACAAAGAATAATTTGTGAAATGATGTTTGACAGAGACCATTTTCCCTCTTTTTTCATAATTGTTGTATTTTACAGTTCACTTTAAATATACTGCTATACAGAGTTGCGTTGTGATGAAAAAATAGGAGCAAAAATAGCTCTGTACTTCTATTTTTAATTATAAAAAAATTTACATTTGAGGTTATTTTTCTTTGTTATAAGAATAATTTACAACTTTTTCCCTCTTTCTCCTGGTTTATTTATAGACAAATAAAGGATTGTGTTTGAATTCAATTAATTGTAGCTCTTAATTATTTTTGTTATATCTAAGAATGTCCATGAAATGCCAAATAAGGCTTGAATATAATAGGATGTGTCTGTGTCTGGCATTTCTCTTTATATATATCTATATAACCTTTAATGTTCACCCAAAGTAACAGATTAAATAACCATAATCAAATTAATAAATTGATGAATAGCTACATACATGAATTGCAAGACCCTATAATAATCCCAGTGTTCATTGGGCTAGCGTAAAAAAACTATAACAGTTATGAATTATGTTCATTATTCAGACAGTTTGTTTATTTATTTAGCTTAGCTCTCCTTAAATCGACCGCTGCAGCCAGCACGTTTGTTCAAAATGCGCAACCTTTACTTTGAAGACGAGCTATCTCAGTTTCCGGCTCTCGACTTCCTGGGATGCCTTGTTCAATTTTCAACGAGCTCACAAACGTCAACATACATTTGCACTTAGCACAAATAGGACAATGAAAGTAGGCAATACCCCCTAAACTGGCATTTTGCATTATACAACGTGAACAACTGCAGAAGAATTATACTTCATGCATAGGCTATATCAGAGATAACAATCTCATAATTTGAGTTGAAATTGTAACCTGATTAATCAGCAGTCGATCACCAGGATAATCTGCAACCATTTTGATCATGTATCAATCGTTTAAGCAGTTAAACATTTGATTTAAATTTGTTCCAACTCCTCATTTGTGAGCACGTCTATTGAATTTTATTTTGAAGGTTAAGTGACTCGACGGAAGTGAAGTTGTAGTCGAAGTCCATTGATGGCTTGTTGCTGCAGAGGAAGCAGTGAGTTGTACTCGCGGGAAAAATGGCGGAAACGTGTGGTGTCTTCATGTTGCCAGCAACAGCGATTCAAAACATCGTATTATAAACCTCATCCTTTGTTTTCCTCCCTATGGTAGTAGATAATCTGCGCGCGGTGGTGAGTATTATAGCTTTAGTTTTATTTGCCCACTTTTTCTTTCGATTGTGTTGTGTCATTTTATGACTCTTTCCTGATGAACTTAACTAACTGAAAGTTAAATACTGAGCCCCTCGGTTGGTCTTTCCTACCGTTGTTGTGCAGCTGTTCAGTTGATTTTTCTTTCATGCTTGAAAGAAGCAGCTCATCTCTTGGTGTCAGTGTTTGATTTTTCAAACCCCGGTGGAAACCCTCAGCTGTAACAGCTGGAAAGTATGGTAGAAACCAGATATAAGGCGCTGTTTGTGAACCCTGAGAAATGTAATAACGTTTGCTTTCAATCCTCTAGGTGTGTTACTGCTGTCTTTTTATACAAGACTCCGGGTTTCAGAGGAATGCAAGATGCAAAAAGGTATTTACTATGGTCAGTTTTTCTGGTAGCGTCAAGTGTTGATTCAGTGAAGCGCATCAAATTATTTTGAGTATACAATGTAATCCTTTACTCACCTCCTCAGATTCAATGCACTTTTCCACCTCTGGCCACATGACTCACAATCAGGCTGTCGCTGAAGAATCCTCGACCAAGGCTTTCCATTGTAGTCACTGCATGCTCATCTTCAAATCCAAAGTCTACCTGTTTGAACATCTCAACAAGGTGCATGACCTTGATGTTGATACTGCTCTTAGAGATGCTGGTTTAAAACACCATGAGTCTAACAAAGCAAACACTGGCAACCAATGCAACAGTTCAGGAAATCATTTTTCATGCCAGCACTGTGATTTCAAAGCTTGTAGTCAGGACGTCCTGAATGAACATGAGAGGTGGTGTTGTAAAAAATCAGAGAATCAGAACGGGATCGTAAATTCTGTCATTTGTGAAAACCAGGAGACCAAAATAATTGTTATTTCGACAGAACAGCCCAAGGAAGGTGCAGAGGCAAAAGAGAGTCCTTCAGTTAAATCTACCTCAAAAACGAAATGCACACTTAACTCATCAAAGGATCTGAAAACGTACAAGAGACCACTGCAAACCATCACCAAGTACTTTGCAGCAGCATCTGGATCCCAAGGGAAACCCTCAGTGAACTCAGCTGAGAGCATAGAGCCTCTAGAAAGCACCAAAGGAACCCTAATTTTGCAAGAATCTCCCTCAAGCTCCAGCCCAAACAGCAGTGGTGTGTTTAAAGTCACTGCAAAGTCCATTATTGATATATCAAAAAAAGGGTCTGACCGATTTCTACTAAATGACCACCTTTTAATTACAGACCTGACACCATCAAAGCCTAAGGAACAAGTCAAAGAACCCGCCTCTAACAACATTGGGAAGAGGACCAATAGTGAAAGCTCAGAGAGTTGCCCTGCCAAAAAAGCAAAGTCAAGCAAAAAGACGACGAATGTCCCAGAGGAGGCAAGTAAACAGCAATCACCAAGCAGCACAGACTTTTCATTTGAAATTAGTGAAGATGAAGAAGAAAAGATGGCTCATCTTTTAAATGGAGACACAGAAAGCCCAAAAGTATATTTTTGTAAGCACTGTGACTACAGTGATATGGGCCTCAGAAGCGTGTCTACCCATTACCAAAATGACCACCCTTATATAAGATATAACGTGGCCTACATTCAGGATCCTAGTGATCAGAGTGCTACCTTTCGTTGCCTGGAGTGTCCACATGAGTTTTTAAGTATTGCTGACCTCAAGAGACATTACACAGAAACTCATCCAGACGCCCCAAAAGTTCTCACAATGCAGTCGTGTGAATTCAATTTGGTTTTCAAATGTTTTGTGTGTCCATTTACCACCAATGTATTGAAGCCCTTGAAAGAACATTACAAGGAAAAACACCCAAAACATAAAGTGGATAATCCCTTGTTGTACTGCAGATATTCAGCGACTAGGTACCAAGAAGGATCATCTCAGTTGAATACATGTGAGAGAGCACACAGCCTGGAAAGATCAGAGGGGTTTTCTTCCAAGAATGCGCATGCACAAAAGGAGAATGTCAAAAAAACACCCTCTGCCCTACCTCCCACCCACAATGGAGCAGATATGGTTTTGTATCATTGCAACAAATGTAAGTTTAGTCATAAGTCAATTGTTGTTATGCATGTCCACTATCAAAAAAGTCATCCAGAGGAAGCTGTCACAATTGACAAAATCAAACAGTCAGCTCGTGCCATATCACATATAACTTCAGAGACGATCCCTGAGAAGTCTGTGACAGTCGCAGAAAACTCTGCACCTCAGAAGAACATCTCAGATTCTTCTAAAAAAGTCAAAGACAAAGCCGGGCAGTCAAAGAGAAAGATTTCATTGTCTTTGATGAATCTGAAGCACACACCAGACTCTTCTAAGACTCATTCAGAGTCTCCCAAACCTGAGAAAGTGAAAACTGCAGAGGACAGAGGCGAAACAAAGACATCACCTACCAAATTTGCCAGAGAGAGCTCTGCTACAATGGACAGTTTATCCTCCAGTTCACCAAATAAAATGTTTTACTGCCAGTTTTGCTGTTATTCAAGTACCAACATCAGAAGCGTTGTTGCTCATCATAAGGCGAAACATGCTGTGCATGGACTAAAGGATACTGAAGAGATCGTGAGGTATAGTGCTGAGGTGCAAAGAAAACGGCAAAGTGAAACTGAGGCCTCAGCAAGTACTACATCTCCTGATTCTGAAACTAGTAAACAGGTTGAGGTATGTAGTGAAAAAGAACTTCCACGTGAACAGGATAACGTAGAAGATGCTTCCATGATGAGATCTAATCCTTATGCATGTCCCGAAAACTTGTTTTACTGCCAAAAGTGCAATTTTGGTAATCCAACTGTAAAAGGAGTATTGAACCATCAAGCCACAGTGCATCAAGGCATTAAGTCCAATCGAGAGTGCATTCTTGAATACACAGCTTCGATTCGTGATGAAATTGAGAAATCAAAGTCTAACACAGAGGAGTTACCCCCCTCTACTCATCTACCTCTCCCACTTCTGAATGAAGGCGATACAAATATGGTTTTCTGCCCCCTTTGCAACTACAGGCAGAATAGTATTAACCATGTATTGAAGCATTGCTTCAAAAGACATCGTGGATTTGAGGTTAAGGCTGAAAAAATACATATGTATACTTTGGTGGTTCTCAAACAGGTACAGAAATTAGACTTAAAAAGAACTGTAAGCCAAGAAGTTAATCATGCATCCGTTGGGATAAAAGGAAATAAAAAGATGCTTTCCAAAGGCTTGTCAGTTTCAGCATCACCCTCAGTGAGAGCCACACAAGCACAGAGGACCCTAAAGTGCCATAAATGTGCATACAGCAGTCAGTACCTGAATGTTTTGAGGAGGCATATGTGGAAAAGCCACAGGACAAATCGCTCAGTCAATGAGGTTTTAAGATTGTGTTTTAAACGTGGCATGTTAGAGTCAGGTTATCACTGTGACTTGTGTGTTTTCTCTCACAAAACTGCAGCAGCAGTCTACAAGCACCACCAGGAGCAACACCCAAAACGTAAACTGACCTTTGAGTACATATCCACTAGGTTATATGTTGGTCCTGACACACCCCCCCCGGAAGAGAAGAAACCTAAGATAAAGCAAACTGATGGTACTAGCGATGGTGCTGGTACTGATGGCAGATTACAATCCCAAAGATCTGGACAAAGTGAAAACAAGAGGTATTCGTGCAGAGCATGTTCATTTAGAGGTCGCTCGATGTCAAGTATGGCAGACCACTACCGTGCTGTTCATCCTTGGACTGTGAAAGAAGATGGCTCAGTCCTGAATGTCATCACCAGCAAGAAGCCAAATGCAAACAGCCATGTGGAAGACCACAATGAAATGCCAGGGTCATTTGACACCCAAGAAGTTCCTCCTGAATTTGGCAAGTCACCTGGTTCATCTCATGAAGCAACAGAATCTCTCACAATTCTCAAGTGCCATCATTGCCCTGCGACATTTCATAGCCAGCGTGGTCTTAAGACTCACTGTGGAATGAAACACCCAGAAGCTGTAACTGAAAATTTATATGAACAGGAAGTACAGCGAGTACAAATCCAAAAACGTGTGCATATCTTTAAGTGTCCACATTGCACCTACGTCAATACCAACTATCATGGAATTCTCACTCACTGCCAGATGAAGCATCTTTCCTGCGTATCCAGGGCAGACAGTCTTCACGTGAATGAAAAAGATCTACGCAGTTGGGAAGACAGCTTGAAAAGAAAAGGTCCTGGTGAGAGTTTGAAATTTAGCGGGTACATGTGTAAAACCTGCCCTCAAATCTATGCAACGTTGGCGAAGATCAACAAGCACTGTGAGAACGACCATAAAGACACTGTGCCAAACGCGGGGCCGAGCACACACAAACTAGCTCCTACACCATCAGCTGCACGTAAAATACTACAATCTAATACCCACAGCAGCAGAGGATCACTATCGAAAGCTTCCTTTTTATCCAAGAAAAAATACACACGGATTAATTGCCAGTATTGCCGTTATACTTGCAGCACAAAAATTGCACTCAGTCAGCACTTTCATGCTCACCACAGCAGCAGCGCTGTTCCAAAGGCTAAAGAGTATGAATACAAGTGTGTCCTGTGCCCTAGGTCTTATTTCAGGAAAAAGCGTTTAGGAAACCATTATATTTTGAAGCATGGGAAGGATGCCTTCTTTAAATACTATGGAGCAATTTCCAAACAGATCCCAGAGAAGTCTGTGCTCACATCTCCCAACTGTCCTTTAACTCAGCGATCCGAAACCGTTTCTGAAGTAACTGAGTCTATCACAACGACAGAAGAGGACAAAGTATTAGTTTACATGTGTCCTAGCTGTCCCTATGTGAATGCTAGCCACCATGGAACGCTCACTCACTGCCAAATGAAGCATCCAGTCCTCACAGCCAGGGCAGATGAACTGAAAAAGGAAAAAATTCTTGTAACCAACATGGTTGGCTGTACGATGGGAAAAGGATCTAATGAAAGAGGGTACATGTGTAAAAAGTGTCCACAAATTTATTCATCATTGGAAAAACTAAAAATCCACGGTGAGAGGGACCACAATCAGGCTGAGCCAGCAGCTTCTGAACTTTCAGCTGACACTGACACTAAGAAACAGCCTCATCACGGCTCAGAGGACTTGGTGTTGGAGGCTGTTCCTTTAAAAAACAAAACATCAGCAGTGAACACCACAGACATTGATCTCAGTCAACAGCTGGCCTCTCCTGAGACATGCCAGGTGTCAGAGCAAAACAAGGAATTGCTGTATAAATGTCGCATGTGCACCTATACAGCAGTGTGTCGAAGGTATCTGCATCACCATTACAAAAATACTCACAAATTGGATGCACTGAACACATACAAGATGCTGGAGGAGTATAACAAACGTAAACGCAGCATAGCCCCCTACCTGCTGAAAGCTGCGTGTGAGGAAAGTGCACATGTCAAATGTAGGAAGTGTCCAAACTTGATGTTTGACTCATCGCAGCAGCTTATTGCCCACTATAGTACCTTTCATAGCTCAGATTACAAATTGGACTTTACTGTGTTGTCACAACAATCAAAGAAGAGCACAGAAATTTACAGATGTGCCCACTGTGATAAAGAATTAAATGGAATTAGAAAACTGTGTCGCCACCTGGATCGCCATGCAGCAAGGGAGAAAAAGAAGGCTGCAAAGGCAAAGTCACCGTCTGTCATTAAGTCAACACCAGAGACCACATTCATTGAAGTAAGTTGACTCTGCCCATATGACCATTTACATTCTTGACATCTGTTACATGCTTGAGCTACATTAAGTTGATGACCATTACTGTGTTTAATTTTCAGCTCTGTAGGCAAGATGAACTGCCCATGTTAGAAACAGTGGAGGAGCTGACCCAGTGGAATGTGACGCAAGTAGAGACCTTCACTTTGCCCGCGAGTCCTGTGTCTTCACTTTTAAAATCCACTGATGTAGAGCAGCCAGAGCTGGAATCAAGAGTGGACAAACACAGTTGCAAACAGTGTGGGCGGACATTCATGTCTCTGAAAGGTCTGCGCTCGCATGAGCGCAGCCATGCAGCCCTGGCAGCCATCAAGGACAATCTGCCTACTTCAGCACTAAGGCACAAGTAAGAATGAGCTTTGGTGGGTCAGTCAGCATTTTAGCATGGTAAAAAATGATGTTCCTCAATGCTTAATACTGTCCTTTTTATAATACAAGCTCTTCAAAATGAAAGCCACACATTTGTTCACCTAAAAAAGATACAACTTATGACTGCTACAATGGTGCTTACACTTACATGTATGAGGGATCCTCCATGGTTCCAGATAGCTTTAGCTAATTAATACTATCACAATATTGTTTATACAGAATTATTAGCTCTTTGTTCAACACTATAGTGTTAACATATTAAATTAAAAATACATTTCACAAATTTGATGTCTTGAACCCCCAATAAGTATTTAGTTAATGATGAGCTAGTTTTGATTGCATCTCACTTCATATATGTTTTTGGCATTGTCTCTGCAGCATTAACAAATACGTCATCTACAAATCTGGAACGCTAAGGCCTTTTGTATGTAGTATCTGTTCCTATCGGACCACCGTCTTGGGCCTGTGGAGGTGTCATTTTATGAAAAAACATCACGGTGAGCAACAGGAGCACTTTATCGATCAGATGTCTTCTAAATGCTGACATACTGGATGTTTTTAAAATGAGTTGTTACAGGTTAGTAGTATATCTGGCACTGTTTCTTCCAGCTGGTTTTGTTAAGAATGGTTTACTACCACCAACATCCAAGTATTTTTTTTAATATGGGCTTGTCTGTAACTAGTTAAACTTGAATATGTTGCCTTAGTTTTAAAAATAACAACTGAAAGGAAAAAGAGAAAAAGATGTGAGTAATCCAGATTAGTTTTGAGCACATTCTCTGGTTTAAAAACAGTGTTAAGTTACCAGTACAGCTAGTTCACTAAAAGTCTACTTCACTGCCAGATATTTCATGAGATGTTTTTTTCTTCTTTCTTTCATTCCATGTATGTGTTGCTGCTGGATGCCCAGATGTCATTATGGATCCTGCAGAGTCTGAGGTTCAAGATGAGGAGCATGCTCAGAGGGCCTACATGGAGCCTCTTAATTCATCAGGGGACAAGAATAATTTGGCTGAACCTGATGAAGAACCTGAAATGGCTGACGGCAAGTTGTCCCTCTGATATTTTATAAATCATAATACTGTCAAAATGTATTGCCCGTACTGAAACTCTGTGGTTTGTTATACTTTGACAGAATCGCTGTACTTGGAGCCCCCAGACGTGCAGCGACAGTTGAACCACTACAGCTTGATGGCACAGACTGGCATCTCGTCTAACGCCAACCTGCAGGAAACCGAGATACCTGAGAACAGTCAGCTTCACTGCGAGTTTTGCAATTTCAGCACCGGACACTTGTCTAGTATAAGACGCCATTACTTAAACCGCCACGGGAAGAAGATCCTCAGGTGTAAGGACTGCAACTTCTTCACTGGTTTAAGGTAAATTACAGCCCCCATGACTACTTCTCCTCACTGTAATCACACACACACACACACACACACACACACACACACACACACACACATAGTTTACATAACGTAGAACACAAAAGTTCTTTTCCATCTGAGTATTGATAGAGTATTGTTGTTTTCAGCATCATAAAATGCTGCTAAAACTCTTTCATTCATGTGTTTGAATCTAAAATGCTCCTCGATAGGACTAAAAACAATAAACTCAGATTGTGGACATTCAACATCATTATTTTGTGTCGTCACTGTTGGGCGTAATGCCGTACGGCTGTCATTTCTGCAAATCACATGGGATGCGTTGCATTTTTGGATTGTTAGCAGAAAGTAGTGTGTATATGAGGGCACTACATAACAGTTCAGACTCGAATATAATAAAATAAATATAGTGCATTGTATATAAAATAGGTAGGGATTTGGCCTGTTATGTTGTTTGTCGTGGAAATCATAAACAAAGCAGTTACAGACTCAGAACTGTCGTTTTGGCTTTTATTCACACATTTGCAAATGGGCTCACATTAACACAGAGATTAACACACAGGTCTCCAGGAAGTGACGGTCCTGAGTGAAGATTAACACATTATTTTATGGATATGAACAGCAATACTCACAAATGCAATGAGCGGGGATGTATGGGTTCGGGTCCAAAAGAGCGTCCTGTATGGGGCAGTACTTCCTCTTAAGGTGTGACAGTTGTTGTTTAAAAACTCCTGTTGAAAACAGGAGACGTTTACTAGACTCAAGGCTGAACTCAATGAAACAAGTCAAATTAGGTCAAGTTTCCCCGACATCTTTATTCAATAATTATGTTCAGTAGTCATGTCAAATTGAACAAAGAATGTTGCCATGGAAATATCATTCTGAAATTGATTAATATCTGAACATTGGAATCATGTAGAGATAGTCAGCCATACGTGGAGCTCACTTGTTTCAAACAGTTAAATCTGAATCATTTGTTTCTCAAGAGTTAACAGGGAAACATAATTTCTGAGACGATATCAGTGAAAAGTTCACAGATTTGTCACGGACCTGTCATTCAGGAAACTGTATGTGGGACAGCAAAGGTTATCTCCAAAAATTCTCCGCATTTTTTACCTGACATGTCCTACCTTTTTATTAGGAAAACCCTGGAGATGCACGTGGAGACGGGTCACTCTACCTGCCAGTCAGAGCCTACTCATCAGAAAGACCTCCGCTGCCCTTTCTGCCTCTACCAGACCAAGAACAAGAACAACATGATCGATCACATCGTCTTGCATCGTGGTAGGATAGATGCTGAACAGGATTCAGTCAATGTTTCCCAACCCACTGAAATCCCAGTCTGTTACGTTATACTGAGTCTTTTTGTTGTCTTTTGTTTTCAGAGGAACGCGTTGTGCCAATAGAGGTGCGTCGCTCGAAGCTGTCACGTTACCTCCGAGGCATCGTCTTCCGCTGCCACAAATGCACTTTCACAAGTGGCAGTGCTGAAAACCTGCGTGTGCACATGATGAGACATAATGACATCAAACCCTACAAGTGTCGGCTGTGCTACTTCGACTGCACTCTGCTGAGCGACTTGGAGGCACACCTGAGTGATAAGCATCAGGTGAGGACTTGATGCTAAAGCCGTCTTTGCATCACTGGAATTCCTTTGTGTCGGAAGAAATGACACGTTATCCACTTTGAATGTACAGGAATTTTAATAACTAAAGTGAACTGTCAGCAGCTTCTTTGTTTAACATTTTCAGATGCTGATGTAAAAATTCAATCTAGAAAGTAAGTTATTCACTGAATCCTTAGGGCAGTAGGCAAATAGCAGCCTGTGGGCAAGTCTGTCCCTCCAACAAAAATATTTGCTCCCCCAATTAAAGATATATTTTGTACAATTTGAATCAAAACCTTCTGTAGGTAACAAGGTAGATGCAAAACAAGCAGTTTTGTAAATCAGTCTTATTATTAAAGAAATGAAATACTCAAAAATAAAAACAATGTGGATAGCATCTAGGGGTGTGTCTTCACCACACCTGTAAAACTATGTCGGCTTCTTAATGAAAAATGCTGAAAAGAACTTGCCCAACTGCTGATGCCTGCCTTAGGGGTTCAGAGAGTAGTACAGGTAGCCCCCTTTCCACCAAGGAGTTCCTGGCATTATGGAGCCACAGAAACTAAAGTTCTCCCCTGAACATTTCTGTCATAAACATGAACATGAGGAAAATTAGTCCAATGAAAAAATCGAGAAATTGTGGTACACATGTTGGTGCTCTTTGCTAATTTGCATAAACTGTCCCAGTTTGTGGTTTGACGTTTTGTTCCTGTTTTGTGCAGGTCGTGAGGAATCATGAGCTTGTGGGTCAGGTCAGCCTCGATCAGCTACAGGCAAAGGTTGGTAGGATGCGAGAGGAAGAGGAGGAGGAACTGTTAACAAACAGAGAGCGCCAGGATGTAGAAACAGTGGAGTTTGTTACTGACTGTAACAAAGTTCTACATGAGACACAAGCTGAGAACCCGGCAGATAATGACACCAGGGAGAAAATTACGCTGCAGATGGAAGAAGCATATCCGAGGCATGAGCAGCACCCACAAGGACAAGCAGGGATTGTGGTCTTGTCAGACACTGCAAAAGGACAGAGGATAGAAGATATAGTAGAACAAAATACTGAGAAAATGAACAATGCAGATATCCAGTTTGAGAAATGCAACAGTCCAGAGAGAGGGAGAACTTCAAATGAGAACCAAGCCCAATCCAAAGTGAGAGGTAGTGATGACAGCGGCGTAATGTTCACACAGCAAAAAGAGGAGGCGGCAAAGGGCAGCTCAACAAAGAGCGGTAAAATAGCAGTTAAAATAGAGGCCCACAAGTTAAAAATAAAGTTACTTCAGCGCAGAACATTGAACATTGAGGCTAGCGTAGAAGACGATATACTGCGTGACATCCTCATGTTGGACAAGGACGACAGCATCTGCACGACACAGAGAAAGGCAGATCGGGATAGGACGGTTAAGATAGAGCAGAACACAGAGACGGACTGTGGAGATAATGCACTAAGCAACTTGCCAGGTGAAGAGAGTAGCATCAACTTGGCCCATAACCCAAAACTTGATGATCCGGAGGCAAAGAAATCTCACATGCAGGCAAACAGCAGGACGCAGAAGAGATTTAAAGTTGAGAGGCATTTGCTAACTCTTCTGCCCAACTGTGCACAACTTAAGATAAGCCATAAGGAGAGTTCAGCTGCCTCACTCACAAACTGCAAAGAGGAACAAGTGCACAGTGAGGAGGTGACAGACCCTTATGGAGAAATGCCAGTGCTCGAGAATGAGTATCTGAAGGATGTATTGCAACCTTGCAAGGAGGAAGAAGAAGAGATCGATCATCTTGAGCAGAAGCAGGAGAAAGAAGATGAGATGATCACTGAAGACAACGAGAACCGATGTGAGGATAAAGAATACAAGGAGGGAGACAGGATAAAGGAAGCTGACAGTCCACATGTGTACAAAAGTAAGAATCTAAATTGATCACAGTGAATCTATATGCATTATTTTTAAAGGCCTCATATTGTATAAAAGTAGATTTCCATGTCTTTTTTGATTATGAAGCAGGTCTAGGTTCTATATTAATACTTAAAACAAACTGTAAATTGAATATCTTTGGCATTTTTACTATTAAACACCCCCCAAAAGTTAGTTGTCAGTTAGGTTTGGGAAATGGCATGTGATGACCGCCCAAGCTGATTTCTCTTGTCTTTCAGGTGCAGTCACAGCCACGGTGGAAGCTGCTGAAGTCCTATGCCCATCAGTCACAGAACAGGAACTTTATACTTGTGACCTTTGTGGACGAAACCTCATGAGCAGCTGTGAATTGAAGCGTCACATAATGCGACATGGGATGTAGCGGTTTTCTTTATGTTGCAAGCAGCAGAAGCAGCTTCCACTGTTGATTTTTTTGTTTGGGAAGCTCAATATTGTTCTCATGAACCGTCCTGTGTTCTTTTACTGTACTGTGGATTTGAAAATTACTTGTTAACACATTAATTTTTCACGTTTTGTAGATTTTAAAACCTTTTTTGAATGAAACGTTTTTATGGTACATATATTATAAGTATGACTTTATTTTGCTTTTCAATAAATAAAACTTCTGAATGAAGCTGGTAACTGCAAAACGTGTGGCACATTGTCATTAAGAACTATAAACATCTTTACACTGTGAACTATTGTTATATACAAACCAATACTAAGAACCAACCTCAAAACCACTGGTAGTGAAAATGCTTTTGCTGCCTTCAGGTGCTGTTGGATATTTGAACGTCTTATGCATCTTGCCAGTGAGCAATGCTTTAATAAGGTCAACTTTTGGGTTGCCAGATATTGGAGAATCCTCCTCCAGCATGTCACTCGTTCTTCGAGGTAGCAACGGATGAGCTCAACATAAACTGAAACAATTTCCGTCTTAAAGCTAAATTTTGATACAGAGGCCCGGTCTACCAGATGGAGGATGAGTTATTGTTCTTCAAATGTGCACATTTCTAACAAATTTATTAACAAAATATATTAATCAAGTGAACAAGGGCCTTTTTGGGGCTCCTGTGCAGTTGCTTGCTTTGTCCAGTCGGTAATTTAGCCTTGTATTTGTAAATCATTTATAAACAATGATAAAGCCGTTAATTACGGATTATTAACCCTTTATAAATGGTGCCTTGTCAGAAAGTGATGCTGTTCCTCGTATACACCTGGTATTATTATTTGAAGAGTTTTGTTACTACATAATTTTTCATACACATACTGTTGTGTAAAAAAAAAAGAAAAAAGGCTGAAGACAGAACTGAGGCCAACAAATCCTGAACGAGTCAAGAATACAAAAATACGAGCTTACGAGAATCACCTGAAGGCAGCATTTTAGTCTGTGTGCGTTGGTTACGACACTTCTTGTCATCCAAATGTAAGAGGACACCGCTTCCTGGTGTGGACTAATAATCATGAACTGATGAGAGAGCAGAGGTAGAGCTGCTCCAGTCCGTGTGATCTGTTGTTCAGAGTTACGAGTTACGAGTCTGCGGAAATAGTGTAAGTAAAACGGGTTTCAGTGTTTGTGATCGCTTGGGTAAAAATGTCCGAAAAGAAAGGGGGTGATGTGATGCTGATAGATATTGGTCAGTCTCACTGGATCGATATTACATTCTGCGGAAGCAACCACTTGTAGGAGATGTGTGCGCGCGTGTGTTTGTGTTTTAATGAGAGCAAGTTTCAGAACTAACAGCAGTTATAAAATGTTTGCATTTCAATGCATTTACTGAGGAGTTCATACAGACTGGGTTAAAGTTTACAGGATTTACAGGAATTGTTTCCTCCTTCCTTTTGGGCAACACCTCTCTTTCCTGATGACTTGCTGTAAGAATATGTAGTAAATGGAAAGTATATGATTAACTGCAACTTTACTGTAATGCATGTACTTTTGTAAATATTTGTTTACATTTGGCATGTTGTGGATACTACTACTATTTACTTGTATATTTTACTTAAGCAAAAGCAGCAATACCACTTTGTTACAATACTCTGTTATATGTAAAATATATTGCATTCAAAATTTGACTTGGAATAGAATTCGTTTTAAATAATGTATTTCTTTCCAGGAAACCTTCAAGGAAATTATAAGGAAATTACACATCTGTAAAATGGAGCTGTTTGTTATAATTGTGGTATTTCCTCAAGGCTTTACTTGTTCCTGCTCCCACTGATAAGAAGACAGGCTTACTGGCACTGTAAATTCAATGTAACACATTTACTTTCATGGCAGTGCTGCTCTTCTAACATGAGCCGTATGTGTTCTACTTCTGAACAGGAACAGAAGAAACGTCGTCTTCAGCTTGAGGAATGTCCGACGCAAACAAATCTGCAGAGGATGGAGGCTCTTTCTCTAAGGTTATCAACATTGTGTTTATCATCCTGCTGCTGGACCTGCTGGGATTCACACTGATCCTACCTCTACTCCCTTCCATTTTGGACCATTATGCACAAACAGGGGTTCGTTGCTGTTTTTGTTTTTGTTTTTTTGTTTTTGTTTGTTTTAAAGCAAATGACATATTCTGGCGACTCTATTAGAAAGGTGTAATTACTTAAAATGCACTTTTAAAACAAAGGTACTTACTCATCATTGTCATAATAATAACATAACATTAAGATATATAATATTTAGAGGACCTGCAAGGTCTTCGTCAGGCACCAAAACACAGGCTATATACACGGACAAAATGACAGCTCCAACTACAGTTAGGAGATCCCATGATGTATCATGATTGTATCATGTGATCTGCTTATTGTAGATGGAGCTGTCAGTTTTTGTCTTTGTATAAAGCCTGTGTTATTGCCTTGCAAATGGAAACTTTGCACTAATAAGAATACCTGCACCCAGCTGGGGTTGGAACCGGCGTTTATAGTCACCAAAACTGCAGCAAAAAATGTGATTTTGAATCAGATTTACTGGACCGACAACGTGCAGAGTGCGATGCTCCTTCACACAAAGGAGGCTTTGTGCAAATAGTCTATTTCATAAAAGAACATAACCAACTCATGAGTGATTAGATTAGCAGCAATGGGCTGTGTTGGTGGGGGAGTCTGCTGAAGCTGACTCATGCTGAGTTGACCTCTTTCCTGGTTTTCATACTGTCCCTGTGTGATGTTACATTTTTGTGTTTTCTTGCTGGATAGGATGCGGTATATCAGTCTCTGCAGAGTATCGTGGACTGGTTCAGGGAGGCTGTTGGGATTCCTATGGAAAAGAAATACAACAGTGTCCTGTTTGGAGGTAGATATTTGATTGGTTTCGCATTCTGTGCAGCTGATATAGAGCTCTGCTTTTCACGACATTATGATCAAGTAAAAATAGAATTTTAATCATGCAAAATATGGGGTTCATTCCAGGTCACTGGTTTAATTTGTGAGCTCATAATTCGCCCTTCAGGTCTGATCGGGTCACTGTTTTCGCTGCTGCAGTTCCTGTCATCACCTATAACCGGTGCTTTGTCAGACCAGCATGGCAGACGGCCCCTGCTCCTTCTTACCACAGTGAGTGTGATGCCAAACGTATATTGATAATATATTGATATGTACATAAGTTTTTATTGATTTAACCACATATTTTTACATTGGTAACATTAGAGCACCAGTGTCATAATATCATTGCACAGTTTGTAGAAGAAAAATTACAGCCATGCCATCAACGCTGATTAATTTGGGTCTAATTGGGCGCCTTGTGTTCCAGTTAGGGCTGATGTCCTCCTATGCGGTGTGGGCAGTTTCCCGGAGCTTCAGCATGTTCCTTTTGTTTCGGGTAATTGGGGGCATTTGTAAGGGCAACGTCAGCCTCTGCACTGCCATCGTGGCCGACTTGCCTTGCCCGAAAGTGCGAAATCGGGGAATGGTAGGCACAGACATTTGTGGCCGTTACAGGAAATGTATTGTTGATATTGAATATCTTAAAACACCCTTGACGTAAATGAATGCATGTTCATTTGAGAATCACAGTGATATTTACTCAAATCTATTACCAGGACACTGTGACTGTGACACTCACATTTCGTGGTTGTACATAATACTGCTGATGAGCCATTTTATGTCGTTGTTATTGTCTTCAATGTGACAAAAACTGAGGTTAATTTTACTGTGACCAGGCTATGATTGGCATCGCCTTCTCCTTGGGCTTCACCATGGGGCCTCTGATGGGGGCCTACTTTGCCATCAGCTCCAGAGCAACAGGAAATGTCTTCTACCAAACTCCAGCTCTGCTCGCCTTGGCCTTCAGTGTTGCTGATTTGCTCTTTATTTGGCTCATGCTGCCAGAGACTCTCACAAAAGATGTCAAGGTTAGCTGTGGAAACATGCACACTTCCAACTGACAAACTAACTCACACACAGTTTTACTCAAGGCACAGTAGTTTATTAAAGTACGTTTTCCCAAAGCAGAACTTTTCACTGGCTACCAGTGATAGGTGAATGATCTTAAAGGAGGAGTTACAGCCCAGAAGCTGGTTAGCTTAGCCTAGCATAAAGACTGGAAACAGCTAGCCAGGCTCTGTATGACTGCTTCAAAATCCGCCTGCCAGTACATCTAAAGCCCACTACTAAACATGTCATTTGTTTGTCAGCGCACAAACCAGAGTGTAAAAATTACACATCGAGAGTCAAGTGTTGGAATATTTCTTGGAAGTCACAGTGCCAGACCAAACAATAGTCAAAGACATGGGCAATGTAGAACCACAACAGAGCCAGGCTAACTATGTCCCCCTGTTTCTAGTCTTAATGCAAAGCTAGGCTAAGCGGCTTCTGGCTGTAGCCTTATATTTACCAGATACTCTCATCCAATTCTTGGTAAGAAAGCTTGTCAAACATGTAAAATCAAACAGGATAAACTCAAAACATTCTTGAGCTTCAGTCTCTCTCCATTTTAAAATGTGTTTTGCTTATTGGAGCTTCACAGTTGCAGAATGATGGATGTGCAGAGTTTGACACTAGAAGGCTGTTTTCACATTGACCTGCTGAAGGGGGGAACGTTTCTCCGTGCTCCCTTTAAATCTCAGTCTGATGTGGAAACATGAAGCAACCAGGGCACATACTGTACATAATGGACTTTTCAGGGAAGACATACACATTTTGATTGAACAATATCTGCATATTTATGGTTTTTTATTGTGCAATCAGCGTTTTGAACTCAAAGAACTGAGCCACAAATCTTGCTCCACAGTGTGATATGTTATGTTTTAATTTTTTAATCTTTGTTTTAGGTGTTTTATCTTTAATTTTTACATGTGTACTGCAGACTCAGTAGTATTTTGTATTTGCTCCACAAGTTTTACATGTTACTTGTTATCGTGCAGCTTTTATTTTTTGGTGAGCCAAAGTCAATTTTCATCTCTGTTGGACAATAAAGTTTCTATTCTGATCTACTCTATTTTAATTTTTCTTGTTTCATCCTAGGCTTCGTCTTCAGGGTTCGGGGACTCCAGGGACCTCCTGAACCCGTTATCTTTGTTCTATTTTTCAGCTGTTACCAGGACAAAAGATCCACCTTCCAAAGAAAGTGAGTTCTCCAACACTCTGGATTCCTGTGTGAGGCAGAGGCTTACATCCATTTGACCCATTTATGAAGCATGAATGAACTTTGGCACACTGACAGAGGGCGCGGATGTCTTTACAGAAATGCAGAAGCTTCAAGTGTTGGGCCTGGTTTACTTCTGCTACCTTTTCCTGTTCTCTGGTCTGGAGTTCACGCTGAGTTTTCTGACTCACCAGCGCTTCCAGTTCACAAGGTATAAACTCATAGATAAGGCTGTGTACTCCACAAGTTGTTGAGAATGCACCTGAAGAGCCACTTTGCATTTTTCTCTCAACAGTATGCAGCAGGGAAAGATGTTCTTCTTCATTGGTGTCATCATGGCGTTGATCCAGGGGGGATACGCTCGCAGAATCAAACCTGGGCACCATATCAAGGCTGTTCGTGTGGTACGAGTCCGTTGGCATGTCAAAAACTGCACTTCAGCACAAACGTCTTCTCTACTGAATTGTATTTCTTGTTTTTAGGCAATCATAACATTAATCCCAGCATTTATTCTCATTGGGTTATCATGGAATATAACAATGCTTTACATCGGCTTGGCGTTATACTCCTTTGGTGAGTTGAGTTTACGTTCAATGATAAACAGTACTGTATGCCATGTTGAGACACATGAAACCCTTCACTGTGTGCAGGAATGTGCAAAATAATTAAAATATAATTGATAAACAATGACACATGAGTCACAGCCAGGTAATGAGATTGATAAAAAAGGACTTCAACATATGATTTAGATACACATTATATTTTGCATATAAAAAACAGTGGCAATAGATCAAAATACCAAAATATTTTAACATTTATTTATTTGACTGTGCTTTAACGATGGCATGTTGGTGGCAGTAATGTATCTCAATAGACAAAATGAAATAAATAAATAAAATAAAATAAAATAAAAGTTACACCACCAATCACACATGTGAATATGCTGCAGCATAATATCCACAGATGATGCAAGATGTAAATATGTTGCTAAAGCATGAAGTATATCTACATCTAAAAGATTTATTTATTTATTTTTGTTTAATGGAATGTAGTGTGTGTTCACATTTTCTCCTTTTGTTACAGCGGCTGCAATAGTCGTTCCATGCCTGTCAACACTTGTTTCTGACTATGGTGAGCCCCTCATTAATTCTCAATATTTTAAACTCACAAGCCGTTTTGATTATAATATAAATTTGCACACTGTTGCTGATTATCTGCAGGCTCTGCCAGTCAGAAAGGCACAGTGATGGGGATCCTGCGCAGTTTGGGTGCCTTAGCCAGAGCACTAGGACCAGTTGTATCTTCGTCTGGTGAGGAAGCTTTTCCTAATATGACAGCAACCAGTTACAATTTACAATCTTGCTTTGTAGAAATGTTTGTAAAAGGTTGTTGTGTTTATCCCCTCTTCTTGTGAAATAAAACACTGAAATATATAAATCCATCTTTGTATCATGCACCAAATTCAATTCAAGTCACTAACTTATTTTGAAACAGCGTCATTTAAATTGTTTGCTACATCTTTGAACTTATTTGCAGTCGACTTGTTTTAACTGTTGTTTTTGCTTCACAGTTTACTGGATCGCTGGAGCACAGACCTGTTTCCTCATCACTTCAGCCTCTTTCATTGTACCCCTCACTCTCTTGAGCACAGCCAGGAGGCTAAAGGAGGAGTGAGCAGTGCAAAGACTTGAACAGACTTTAAAAGGACTGATTGCAGAGACATTCTGATACTTCGCTGCCTAAATGAATGTTATGGTGTCTGCTGGGAAAGCGAGCACTCAATTATTCCTAACATCATCATTAACAATCATGAGAAGATGTAAAGTATATGTTGTGTGTGTCTCTGCTGCTGGCCAAGGATCAAGACATGAAACAAAATAATGCAAGAAGACAATGCACATGCCAGAACCAAAGCGGGATTGATGCGAGGAAAGTCATTGTATAAGCGTGAAATATATGACCTAATGCCTTTTATATGCACATTTAAACCTGTGCATATTATGGACAGCATGGGTTGGGGTGGGTAACAATTTACATTTACACTTGTGGAACATATTTTTCATTTGATATCTTATGTAAAGACTATACACAAAGGTTGACAGCACTGGAACATAATCAAGGTGGTAGAAAGTATTTAAGTGCATTTACTCAAGTACAACTTTGAGGTACTTGTACTTTACTTCAGTATTTCCATTTTTTGCTACTTAACACTTTTACTCCATACATTTTACTCCACAATATGTCTTCAGTGCCAGTGGTTGTTTTGCACCTACAACAAGATCAATGATCCAGTTGTAGAATAAGAAGCGTTTTTATAGATTAAACTACTCAATATAAGATACAAATGAGTAAAAATATTCTCTACCTAAAGAGCTACAACATTAGAATACTGTTTAATCCAAACGTAAGGGCATGAGGGCATAAATGATGGTTTTCTTTTGATACTATGAATACATTTTTTTACTTTGAATAAAAATTGATGCATTTTTACTAGTAACTTATTGTTTTTAAAATGTGTGGCTTGATTTATTTCAAAATATCCACCAAGGATAGAGGAGAAAGTAAACTTTATGTTATCATCACTGGCTGTTGATTTGACTCAGTGTTATTTGAGCTTTCTTTTTTTTCAAGCTAGATAACATTTTAGCATAACATTATTGAAAAGTAAAAGAAAAGCATTTACACGTAGTTAAGTGTTTGTAATTTTTGTGAAGCTTGTAACGCTGTGAAGGCAGAAGATGTCGCTGTAAGCTCTCCTGACTACACACAATGTAAACATCAGCTGTTCCCATCAGGCTCATGTAGCGGCTATGCTATCAAACAGGTTGCTTCGGCTGGTTAGCCAACACACTGTAGGCGCACACATATGAGGTGTCATTGTAACTGGCAGTCTGACAACACATGGAAGATCGAGTGAACATGCGGAGATGCGACTGCGTCTAAAAAAAAGCTGAAGATGGACAAGGTAGTTAACGAAAAATATTGCTTTTGTCTGTTTTTTTTTGCTACCTAGCATGCTAGCCTGTTACGCTAACGTACGCTGATGCATGTAGCTGACCATAAGCTAACTTTATGCAAACTTTAGCTGTTATAACCATGAGTAGAGCATACTTATAAGTTAACCGCTGCTTTGACCACACAGTTGAGCTGTTTGTTGAGACGTGTTGTAAAACATTGGTTTTGCCAGGTTACCCAAAAGTTATGAATGTGTAACATTAGCTGGATGTTAATTTGAGCTAAATAAATGAGCTAATAGTTAGCTAACTGTACTTGAGTCAAGTTAAGCTTAGCACATTTCATTGAATGAAGTATGAATCTAAAACATGGATTAAGTGATCGGATCATTTAAAATAACTTTAACTGTGGCAATAGACGGCTTTTTTTTACTTGAACTGGAGCCAACGTGATTGTCAAAGGTCGCATTCAAGCAGACTGTTGAGCAAACTGTTATCTGCTGTCCAGTCTTTTCCCCTTATCACTGTTTTAAATATCTGTCAAGCATACATAACATAATCAAAAAGGAAAGGAAGGAAACAACAACAAACACAGGCTTAGTGTGTATATATGCATATGTCCATGAATGGATAAAGGATAGATATTTGGTTATTAACAAATTGTCTTTCTTTGCGTGTGGGTGTTTTTTTGTTGTTGTTTGTTTTGGCTGTCCAGTCTTTTGACCCTAAACACCAGAGGAGACAGAGAAAGGAGCAGGCTGAGCCACACACAGCCTCATCACCAACCCTGATGTTACCAAATGCTTATGTTTCTGACCAGATTTCAAGAGGGTAGGAAGATGATGACATGCATAATATTTCTGTTCTGGTCAAAGTAGCCTGTCATTTGGCCTACCTAATGGCCTGGAACATGTGTGTAAATTATTCAACTGCTTATTTGTGACAAATTTAGATCCTTGCTAAGGAACCGGTCAGGTCTGAGCCCAAACCAAGCAAGAAGAAGTGGAGATGTACCAAGGAGTTATGGCTACAGCAACAGCCGTCGTGTTAGAGAGACCAGTGATGATTTTCTACAGAGAGACAGATCTGTACAGGATCCACAAGCAAAGGTTGGTTTAATTTTGAGTATAAGAAAATTAAATCAAAACAAACTGTCTTCATGAAATTATTTTCACTGATTTTCATTTATCTCCACAGGCATCAAAAAGCAACAATGACTCTTCTGCTCAAAGTGGAAACATGGGCAAGATCACAATGGATCCACAGAGGAGAGGTAGTTTTCACACATAGCAGTCAAATGGAGAATTTTTCTTTCTTTTTTTTTTTTTTTTCAAAAAATATTCTCCAGAAATCTTTTTTTTCCTCCTTTGATTTCCCTCACTCTAGTCAGGGAAAATGATTTTGTAGCAAACCTTTTGGAATCACATTTTGTAATTGATCCCCAGGTTTTAGAGGTGCCAGATCTGCCCCAAACTCTGCAGGGAGGTCAAAACAAGTACAGACCGACTTGGTCCCGTTTGAGGTGAAGATGGCCGACTTCCCAGAGTTGGCTGGTGTTTCGCTGGGTAAAGCAGGCGCTTCTCTTGTTCAGAAAGAGTGCTGGGGTCCAGCTCCTCCATCCACGAGCCCTCAAACGCAAACGTCGTCATCTGCCTGGAAGGTGAGCTCACTGACATATCAGATGTGATATTGTGTAAGAGTTAGTGGTGAATGCTTCACTTACATAGAGTTATACTCTGAATGAATTTGGTGTTACACTGCAACTGTAATTTTCTGTTGAATAGGTTGGCAGGAGAGGATCGCCAGCACAGCCCGATCCCCAACCAAGTGCCATTAACGCTAAGCCAGACTCCCCTGTCATCCCACCAGGTAGGATGAAACTTCTCATCATCAGTCTTCCAATGACTTAATGCAAAGGCAATAATGTTTCAGATATTTGTTTATCCTTTTTTGTGAACAGGTCAGCTGGTGGTGACATCATGGGCTAACGTCGCCTCTCAGCCTCCAAAAAAACTCGTCCCTAAAGAGAATACAATCAGCAGCAACCCTATGCAGGTTAGATGATTGATGTGAATGTAATGTGATTTAAAATCCTAACTGAAAGGGCTCCACATCACATATTTACAAATGACTTCTGCATATTTCAGAGATACACTTTGTTCAGATTTCCATCATTCTATCATTATTTTCTGTGATGAGTTGTTCTTTTCTTTTGTGGACGTCTGTTATAAAATAAACATAACCCAGCTGGACGGTATGACAGTATGGTAAACTGAAATTCACCTGTGTTAAAATGACCTTTGTTCATGTTATGCTTTTAGGAAAAAAAGATCAGCTGATGTATTGCTATTAATTTTTTACTGTATATAAACTATATGAATTAATTAGATATACAGAAAAACTTGATCAGCATTAAACAACTTGCTCAGATGCAGAAATCCAAGAAGTCCAGATTTCAGTTAGAAAAATCAAACATATTTGATTTAACTGGGACTCTCTGACAGTCTAATTGGTGTGAGAGCTTTCAATCGTAAATCCTAAGAAGGCTTTAATTCATGTTGTGTGTTTCTGTCTTTTCTCATTACATATTTTTAAGCATGAAGAATTACCATCAGTCAACTGTTCATTGTGGCTTGTTTCATGTGCGGCTCTTTTGTGTGTGCAAGCACTAGGCCACTTTCCTTGGTAATAAATCATAGTTGTGAGCTAAACCTTTGGGTTTTCGTGCGTTGCCATGTGTTTCAACGTTGTTTTCTGTCCCCTTATTTTGCATCTTATCAGACGGACGAAATGGCTGCACAGCAGGAAGAGGGCACCCCAGGGAAGAAAAAACGGAAGAAAAAGAAGAAGAAGGCTAAAGGTGCCGGCGAAGATGCAGAAGCGGAGTCAGAACAATCAATAATTTATCAGGAGCCTCCAAAATTTGAGGTAAATAAAAAATAGTTTCTGTTTTTTCATTTGATCGAAAAACAAAACCCATTCATGAACATTTTTTTAAATTTTCAAAATAAGTGTAGGTTTCTTTTAAATGTTGTTTTTTGTCTTGTCAGGATGAAGAGGAGTTTCCAGGCTTGACTCCTGCTTTTACTGGAACTGATAGATTGATAAGCTACAGCAATGCAGCAAAGCTATGCAATGAGGTATATTTATCCTTTGAGATATTTTCACGTGGCTGATATCAATAGGTTAATATATTGTCTCTAAAATGAAGTAGATAGTCTGTAATATTCAAAATCTGTGTTGCATTTTTTAAGGAAACCCAAAGAGAAGGAGGTCAGCATCAGTCTGCTGACCAGAACAAGGAAAAATCATCTGCAGCAAAAGCTCTGCCCACAGAGACAAATAAAAAAGGACAGGTTTGTATTTTCAGATTACTTTCAAATAAACTCCTTTTAAAATTATCCAAGAAAAGGTCTGGTTTGTACTCCTGTTCTTGGTCTCTTGATTTGTAGAAAGCTGAAAAGATTTCTGGTGGGAAGAAGAGCAAAGTTCCTGTTCAGCTGGACATCGGAAATATGTTGGCCGCTCTGGAAAAGAAGCAGCAATCTCAAAAAGCCAAGCAAGACGCCAAACCAGTCATTCTCTCAGGTGGGTTATGGTCAGCATCTCTGCTACACAGGGTTCCTCATTTGTCTTCGTCTCAAATAAGAATAATTTAAAGGTATATTTTGGCTGATTACTCATTTAAAAAGACATTCTAAGGATGATGCTTACAGATTCAGAGCTGTTGGTACAAGGTCTTAAAATGTTTTCTTTAAAAATGAATTTCTTTAAAGTTGGAGGAGGACTACCTGTTGTCCAGAAGCAGCCGTCAGTGCAGAAGAAGCTGCCCTGGCAGCACGATAAAATTGCACACAACCCCCTGGACTCCACCAGCCCTTTGGTGAAAAAAGGAAAGCAGAGAGAGGTCCCCAAAGCCAAGAAACCCACTCCTCTTAAGAAGGTAAGTCCACTCACTTTCTCAAGAACAAATACTGATGTTCTACAAGAAAGTTTTTCAGCAATACAACCTTGTTAGTTTATTTCTGTCTGATCCTCAGGTCATTTTGAAAGAAAGGGAGGAGAGGAAACAGAGACGTTTGCTGGAGGAGAGAGGTCTGCTGCCTGAAGATGAGTTCAAACCTGTTAATGATCCTGCAGACGAAGAGCAGTGTGATACAAATGCCACAGGTCAGAGCAAGCATGTGAAAAATAAAATACATTTGAGTCCTGTGATAAGTAAACACAGCTGCAAGAAGGTGAAGGAAATCTTTGATTCTAGCTAATATTTGATCTGTATTTTGTGCTTGTCAAACCTCAGATGAGGTTGGGAGTCCTACAGAGGAACTTGATGATCAGTCTGAGTTTAATGCTGCAAACCACACACTGAAAGAGGGTGACGAGGAGGCCACCAAAGACGAGACAATAGAGCAACACACCACCTCACCTGTGCCCTGCTCAGTCAGTCAACCCAAAATCCACAGCAGGAAGTTCAGAGAGTAAGGATGCAAAAGCTATTTCCCTGTAAACTCAGGCACAATACTAATCTGTGTTGGTCTAGGTTGTTTGTGTTTTTGTTGACACACACATAAGAAAACTTTGAGTCCCATTGAATTGAATCGCTGTTTTTGTCACATTTTTAATTTGAAATGTATATTGTTGTACATGTCAGCTACTGCAGCCAGATGCTGAGCAGAGACGTGGATGAGTGTGTGACGACTCTGCTAAAGGAGCTGGTTCGTTTCCAGGACCGCCTGTACCAGAAGGACCCCATGAAGGCCCGCATGAAGAGACGAATCGTGATGGGGCTCAGAGAAGTCCTGAAGCACCTCAAACTCAGGAAAGTCAAGTGTGTCATCATCTCACCTAACTGTGAACGGATCCAATCCAAAGGTACTGTGTCCTTGTGAGAGCTTCACAGTTTGTCATTAGGAAGTTTTCAGGAGCTTATTTTATACAGTCTTAGAATTTTCTCTTAATTTGTGTCTACCTATCACAGGTGGCCTGGATGAGGCTCTCCACACCATCATCGACACATGTCGTGAACAGGGGGTGCCATTCGTATTTGCACTCTCTAGGAAAGCTTTGGGCCGCTGCCTCAACAAGGCAGTGCCTGTCAGTCTTGTGGGCATCTTCAACTATGACGGTGCACAGGTCAGATTTAGTACACACTAATCACTGTTCTGGAAATTAGCTTTAATGTTATTACTATGAGAATATCCACAAATGATTTTTGACCTTGAAAGATAATCTAAAAGCTAAGATAAACTAAAAGAGCCGTCTTTCTTACTCACAGGACTACTACCATAAGATGATTGAGTTGTCGTCGGAGGCCAGGAGAGCCTATGAGGTGATGGTGTCGAGCCTGGAGCAGACGGGCCAGACAGAGGCAGAGCAGGCAGTGAACATGGAGGAAGAGCTGCAGATCAGCAGCCTGGCAGAGGAGGCTGTGCCCAGTCCTGACACCACACAGCCAGAAGAACCAGAATACAGTAAGTGACTGTCCCATCCCAATATTGGTGATACCTGCTGTTTGGTCTGACAAGATCAAATTAAGTAACAGGTGTAATTTTGTGATTTAACCAGTTAAATCCACTATAGGGGAAATGTAGTTGAATAAGAGAAGAGTTAGTGGATACAACAGATTTCAAAGTCAAAAAATAAAAATCAAATAATTATCTTTTTGTTTTGTTTTTTTCTCCCAGTAAAAATTTGGAAGAAAATGTTGGAGAAGGAGTACAACCATAAGTTTTTGAACTTTGAGGAGCAGCTGAGCTCCATACACTTGGACAGTGAATGTACTGATAACACTGATGAAGATGTGAAGAGTTGACAGTGGTAAAGCACTCCGTGCCTAAAATATGGACCCACTCATGCTTCATCACCAGCATAGGAGAAACTAGGATGGACTAAGCAGCACGAAGTGTTCTGCTGCAGTGGTTCTGAACCTGGGGATTTTGTCAGGAAATTCATCATGTTGCCAGTATCTGCAGTGAATTCTGATTTTCTTTAAGTAATATTTTTGTGTTTGAGTTCAAGATAAATGGGCAAAGCTGTGTATATTAAGAGTGCGTGTGTGTGGGTGTGGAGGAGGCTATAAACTGGAGAGGTTAACCACTGACTTACTAGGACCAAAGTTGTCACTTGAAGAGATCCCACAATATGAATTTTCAGCTATGTTGTCAGTGAACATACCTTGAGGATGTATAGGGGTTTATGCACTGAATGTGTGCAAAATATCAATCAGTTGTTAAAGAATCAGTGGTAATTTGGTTTTAGACTTCAGCTCGACGGCTACTGTTACATTATTTGGTTCTCTTATTAATTAATTAACTTCACTTCAACAGGAATACAAATAGCAGGAAATGAGATGATAGAGGAGGAATGACGTGCAACAAAAATCTGTAGCCAGGCTCAGGTCAGCAGTTGAAATCAGGGCTGAAATCAGGGCCAGTTAGATGATGAGCTTGTGAAATTTTGGTTGTCCATCACCCTTTGTAAAACTTTAGGAAAAATAGACTGCATAAGATTTCTGAATGTAGAAAAGATTTGTGGTTGTCGAAAATTTTGAGAAACTCAGTGCTCAAAGTTCCCACACTGCATGACACTGAGGTCACACATGGACACAAACCCTGCTTTTTCGTACATCTGACTTAAATGTGTGTTTCAATTCCAATTACATGGGGTATATACTATATGTTATCCTTATTGCATGTTGTTTTTTTCTATTGGTATACAAGAAAACTAAATACTAATATTAACAAGAAATTATACAATACTTAGCTGTTGGACGACAGTCAAATCGAGACTTTAAAAATGCAGCTGTTTAAGTTTTTGGTACACATTTTGTGTTCTTGTGTACTCTCACACAGTGTGGGAACTTGTTGACCCTTTTTTGAGGCCACAGTCATAAACCCCCAGGCCACAATGACAACCTAGTTTCAGTTAAAAGCTAGAAATGTAGCTATGTTCTTATTTTGCATAAGAATTTTTTTTTTTTTACATGATGTCAGAAATTTTTTTTTTTTTTTTAAATCCTGATTGCACTACATAGTAGAGCCTCTGTTTTTGATAGCACAGGTACTACGCACTAAATGTAGGACTGCCTATGATTAGGTTCTTTTTAACAGGAAAAACACCTAAATAATAAGGAACATTGCCTGTTGTTAATTTGACTCAGTTGAAATCATGTTTAGTAAGTCTTCTGTTGTCCCACATGTGGAGGAAAAGTAAAAAATAAAATAGCAAAATGATTTGAATAAAAGGACAAATGACGGTAATATAAAGTGCTGGGTGACAATCACGTCAAAAGAAGCAATAAATTAAATAATTTGAAAGTCAGAATTAGAAGGTGTATATGATTATGACCTATGAAGACTTAAAAATTGCAGATATCATTTTGAATATAAACATTTCAGTTGTGGAAAGGTGTCTGGTGTGGTAAAAAAAAATGTGTTAAGTGCAGAGAAAAGACCTTTGTGAATATTGTTATTGGGAGTTTGTATGTTTGTATTGGATTGGATTCATGCAAGGTAGAGATGGCCAAATGCCAAAGTCTTGCTTAAGTCTTGGTACAGTTCTATCAAGTAGAACTTGGTAGTTCCATACCAACATGATGTTGTAGCGAAAGTTATATTTTGTGATTCATCTCTTTTATAAATCATTGAATATAAACTCTGTATGTAAGATGGAGCATAGACAAATTTCCAAGGAGAATGGAGAATTAAAAATATAATTTTTATATTAATAGTCAGATGGTTCTTTTTTATAACGCATTAAACAGGAAATAGCAATTTTAGCAGAGGTGGGGTTGATTTATTGTCTTCTCCAAAGTAAATATCAATGTAAATTGTTATTTGCATAAAGAAGACAAATGCAGTTTTTACTTTGAGTGAGTGGGTAACGAATATACAAAAGGAATAGTAGTGGACCACGTACACTTCCCTGAGGAACCCCTAATATAACAGACAGAGGTTAGATAACTAAAGCTAAGCACCTGGGAATTGTTGAATAAATGTAAAAAGAAAATTGGGGAAATTTCGAATTGGGTCTGTTGTGATTGAAATTATTCATATTTATTGATATATATCACACTAAATAATGGAATTTTGATTTGAATAAAGTATCTTGGGAAATATTTTAGTTATATCTGCAACGGTCAGTTTACTCAAGTTTTGTTTATTTGGATTAAGGAAAAGAAGAAACATCTTCCATGGGATAATTTTTTAGTACTTTACTTCCACAAATAGAGCAGAGACACAAAAAGTCATGTTTACTCTTCAAGTTTCTATCCTTAACCTGAGGCAGGAAAAAAAAATCCTGAGTTTAAACTGCACTATGAAGAGTGCAACACAAGACCAGACATGGTGCTTAAAATGTACGACACAAACAAACATTTTAAAATGTTATGTCGCTATCTTTGTTTCTATGAAACAAACACAGATCATTAGATGTAATTTGTATTAATGCATTTGAATCCTCTTACTTCTTCTCTCCCTAAATGAATATAAAAAGAAGATTATCTCTTTTTAAATCCCACATACAATGTAATGTAAAGTAGCCTGTGTTGGCCCTACATTTGAAATGTTCATTCCAAAATGATTTCTTGTCTCAAAGTAAAACTGTGGAATTATTAGCGATTTAAAACTCCTCACTTAAATACATAAAAAAACAAAAATAATAATTTGTGACCTTAAATAACACAACTAGGAAATTGATATTTTTAAAACGGATCAATCCTTTTGGAATGAAACTTGATGTCAAAAACGAGTTACAGAAAGTCATTCTTTAAAAAATCAGTTGCATTAAGTGTCATGCAAAAAAAAAAAATTGTTTATGATGATTAGACTACTGACATTTTTGTGTGCAGTCCTATTTTTACTTTTTCCAGATCAATTCCTATTAAAGCCATGTAATGTCATCTCATTTAAAATTTTAGTTGTAGGTTGAGTGTGAGTGCAGTCCAGTTTCCTTTTCTTTTGTACACACCCCAGATAAACCAGAATGACCTGAGGCAAAAGCAACACACTGCAACACCTTCTGTAATTTTTTCATGGCCAACTACTATTTACTACTACTCTAAAAATCAACAATTACAACTCTCCAACTAGTATTCTATGTTGCCAAAGCCTGATATAGCTTAATGTTTATCGGGTATAATCTTTATCATGTTCACAATCTTAAGGTTATTCTCTAAGGACTTTGAATGTATGTAACAAAATAGATATTTCACACAAAACCAAAAATGTCAGTCTTCTCAGCAAAGTAATTAGGATTCATCTCCTGGGAACCAATACCAGAACAGAATTAAGTGGCCATCCACTGCCACGATATTTCACCGAACAAGTGGAAAATTTAAAACTCAGAGGATCATCGGTGTCATTGGAATTCAACCTCAAGAAACCATAAATATCTGTGGCAAATATCACAGCAATCCTTCAAATAGTTGTCGAGATATTTCACTCTGAACCACATGGTGCAGAGGAAACGTAAGGGGATCATAAAAGCCAGTCCTGTTCCTCTGGTGACCATGAATGTCTGCATCAAATGTCATGGCAATCTATCCGAAAGAAATAACAAAAATATAGAATATAACTATTTCTCTTATCATTAAAACCCTAGTAAAATAACTAGGGGCATCAGTCATTTGTTTTTGGACATAGCATGTGAAACAAAACCTTCCATTAAAGATGGTACAGGGGTAGCATCTACGTATCCGCTACAGATTAGTTCTGTGCACACTCCCAGTTTACCGGGCCCAGTAAAGTGTAAGTCCTTCTGATTGGTGCAGTTTGTGTAGTGGTTACCCTTCTCCCTACAGGAAGAGTCAGCTGAGACATTTTGTCTCTGCAGGAGGACTGTATTGGCACCGTCCACCTCTTTCACCCTGCTGTAGTCCTCTGGTATGTTCTCCTCTTGTCTCTGAACATCCATGTATGCTGGGACTTTTTCTTTCTGGAGGATGAGAATATTGTCACCATTCACCTCCTGCATTCTGCTGTAGTCCTCCTCTTTCACACCCACCTCCTGTATGTTCTTGTGTCTCTGAATATCCACATAACCGCTCTTTGTCAGAGGTTGGACAACGTTCTCAGCAGCACCGTTGTGATTTGATGGACTCTGATCTGTCGCCTCTCTGTTTACAAAGCTTACACTTGGGCACAGCTGTTTCTGAGTTGGCAGCTGGGGTGGCTCCCCTGAGAGCAACGTAATGCTTTTTACAAAGTTGTCTATTTCCTTCTTTCTTTCCTCATCCTTGTCCCAGTCACTTTGGCCTGGAGACGACTCCTTACATTGGATTTCCAAGTCTAAGTGGAAGCCAGTGGGAATAATCAAGCTTTTCTTCCTTTTTTGAGAACTTGAAGGGTTTGGCAGAAGTCCGTCATCAGACACGATTAGGTACTCCTCTATCTCGTCCTTCCAGGCCACCGAAGGAGGAAAGCTCTGGTTGATTATCAGGGCATTGATTATGTCTTCAGATCGCCCCCTCTGTAAGGGTTAATTAGGAGTAATTCAGTAGATTGTTAACACGGTCAAAACACGTTTTTGGAGACACAACGCAGATGCAGCGTTACCTTCAGAAGTTGGACATCTAGTCCTCTGATCTTTGGACCAGGAACAGGGGCCAGAAGACACTTCTTCACACTGAGAAACAAAAGAAATTGTCCATATCATCCTGGTTTATAAAGAGTATATATAAAGAGTTGTATATTATTCTTTGCGGGAGATACATACTATTTCCTCTTCATGACAAAGATACACATTGCTGTTGTAAATGGAACTGCAGAGAGGATAGACACCAATATCCAAAAGTTTTTCTGAGCATCTAAAGAAAAAAGATGTTTTTATTGATTAACTTGATACAGTTGCCACCTTGAAGTAAAAGCCAAAGATGGAGCAAATAACTTCAGTGACTCACAGTTTGGGGTTTTCACAGAGGTAGAGTGGCTCCACTCGCTCCAGGAGCCGTGGTCTAATGCACAGCGCACCTGAACTATGTACAGTACACCAGGATTGATGTTGTACAGGTTGAACTGGGTTTGTGTACCTGACGTGTACTCCTAGAGAGAGAGGGCGAAAAAAAACACACACACACACACACACACAAATCACCCAACAGTTTGCCTTGTACCCATGTAAAAGTTACATTTGGGTAGTTGCAAATACATTTGTTTCACCTGAATCTGTGGTGGTCTGTAATGATTCCAGTACAATGATACACTGATTTATTATATACTAACTGCGTACTAGCAAATGTTTGGGTAGTGCATACTACATACGGTTTGTGTGTAGTCACAGCAATTGACAGTCCTTGCAATTTTCTTGACAAAATTACTTATCAAATTGTTGCAGATAGTCAGTTAAGTCGATTGAAATATTAAATCTTTTCAGCTCTAAAACAAAGCTATAAGTACATGACAACATGACTTTACAAGATAATTTGGATTTAGTTACTGTGTCTTGTTGTTTTCTGCAAAAAACGTCCTGTCAGTCCATTTGACTGGTTACATGTAGATCACAGACTGTACCTTTTTAAAGGCTCCTACTGTTCCTTCCTGCACAAAGCAAACACAATGTGCAGCACTTCTCCAGTGAACCAATGAGCTACTGTTTGTTTTGGACTCACCTTCCACCCTTTGCTGTTTTCTTGTTGGACTCTTAGTTCGTATTTGATGGTGACCCAGCCGGACTTGGTGTCTGTGTCATAGGGATGCTCCCATCTGATATAGAGGTATGGATTGTCCTCTATCTTCATCACCTGCAGAGTGACGTTTTCTGGAACGTTGGGCTTCACTGTCGAGCGCAGACAGAACAAGACTGAGAGACCACAGCCACACAAACACAGCGCTTGAGCTAAATGCTAATGTCAGCATGCTAACATTTGCTAATTGGCAGTAAAAGCAAAGTACAGCTGTTGCTGATGCAGGTATTTGATTAAAAATAAAAGTATTGCACAACTTGGAATTTTGGCCTGATAATGGAAATAGCTTGAATGAATGTTTGTACCAAATGTCAAAGCAATCCATTCAATAACCGCTGAGACACTTCACTGGGTGAGTGAAAGCTGACCTGTTGGCATTGCTGCAGGAAGGGTCAGGGGTCACAAAAGTCATTAGGAGTCATATCTGGTGATCATGAATGAATGTTTGTCAATCCCTCAAATAGTTCTTGAGATATTTCACTCTGGACTGACCACCAAAAAAACATAAAGGCCACAGAAAACATAAAATAAGGTACATTTTGAATATTTGATACAGAGTAGGTTTAGATCCCTGGGACAAAATCTGATGCAGTGGAGTTAATATTTTATTCCATGGGACAAGACTCAGCTTGAAATATACTGTAAGTACAGTGCATGGCGATCGCATGCGCATCTGCCTGCATAACGAAACAAAAGGTGTGAAATTTGATCTGTAGACAAGTTTTACACCGGGCACAAACCTGTTCCATCTCATTCTGTTCACATTTTCATTTGTACCTTACGTCTGTCAGTCAGTACTTTTCCATTCCTTACTAAGCTCAAGAAAGCTGTATCGCCAATAAAGCTGTGCCAATCATTAGTTCAAACAATACAGATCATTTTTCTACTGTGTCAACCTCTACTTTAACAAATACGCAGATCAAGTAGTAGTCAATAGTTCAAAGTGTATCTCTGCCACAAAAACACAGCTGAGCTAAACAGATTAAGCTGTTCTTCATTATTATTAATAATGGTTTTTTTATGCTTTATGGTGTCAGTTAATGTCAGTGAAACATTATACATTTCTTTTCATTTAAACATCTTGACACAAACTTTTTGACCTTACAGATTTTTTAACTTTCACCCCAACCCAGAACACGGTGCATAGATAATGCAATAGAGTGAGCAACAGTATAGTTATCACAGATCACAGTGTGTATCTCCACTCCTTACTTACATACAATACTGTAATTTTTATACTATAATACTTTTTTTAAAACAATCTTTTTCATAATTTTTTCTGAGTGCCCCTATTAAAAACGAGCCCATCTGTGTCAGTGAGCAGGAATCAGAACATAATCTGTATCTCTCTCTTGAGATTTGATTTATTTAACTCATCTAAATAATTTTTCCTTGAGAGTAACAACTTACCGATTTCCATTACGTCCATCTTAAAGACGTCTGAAGTGGCATTCCCAAGGGCATTGGAGGCCACCACTGACAGGTAGTAATCGACCCAGATGGAGGTGTGGTCCTTGTCAAAGAAACAGGAGTTCCTCCCTGCCGAGTGGTAGTCTGGACACTCCTGTGTTCCCTCCAATCTGCATGCAGACAAAACAAGACCTTTACTGACCACGATATGGGCGATTGTTGCTCAGGGCATTTTGCTGACATACACGTCTGACATAGTATAACTGTGCTCTGAGCAGTAAATACATGTTAGCAGTCAATAAACAAGCATAGGGCTCAGGTGATAGTGACTTTATTATAACGAGTCAGGTGACCCACTGCAACGTGATCCCAAATGTTATCTTCTAAGAAACTAAACAAAATATCAAATGCATTTTTGACAATTTTAACATGTTTAATTTTGTCAGACCATACAGAAGTATCTAATCATTCAAACTGAATTTTAAAAAAGTAGAAATGTTACCAAACTTTTAATTTTTATGTATTCATAGGACTGCTTAATAATAATCCATGAGTAGCTCTGTCAGGCTGCACAGGTAAATGCTAACAAGCTCACAATCATAACAGTAGCATGCTGATGTTTAGCAGGTAATGCATTCTCTGCGGCTGATGGGAATGTCATTAGTTTTGGCAGATATTTGGACATTAACTGAAGAATTAGACAAATAACAATGTTGACCTGATGGTCAGCATCAAGGGTCGAGTCACCACCATCAGACCATGACTGTCTGCAAAATTTTGCAGTAATGCATCTAATAGCTGTTGAGATTTTTGGGTCTGGACAAAAGCAGTGGACCAACAGACTGAAAGTTTCCATCCTTGAAAAGTCTTAAATTGTCAGTGCTGGCATTTCGCCCTCAGGACAGGACAAGTGAGGGTCACACAGTGTTTGATCTCTGCAGGTTCCACAGCAACAAAGATTTGTGCTCAGCTGACTGAGCACAAGTGTGTGAATAAGGGAGCTGGTAGTTTTCCACTCGCTGGTCTGCAGCACTCCACTGATAACAACAGCAGCTTTACTGTCACCAGCTCTCAGTGTGAGTAATAAACTTGGTGGCCTAGTAGTTAAAGGATAATTCTGGTATTTTAAAACCCGGGCCGTATTTTTTCAATCTTTCTAAGTGATTAATAGGGACAAAAATGTTTTGACTCCAATATTGTTTGCTGTATCCGACAACCACGAAACAGATATAATGTAATTCAAGCTGCCATTTGTCTGTTGCAAAGTATGTCCACTAAAAGTGCTTGTTTTTGCCACAGACAGGCTCAGATTGTTATTATAAGCGTCTGACAACATTATGGAAAGGATCCTTACAGAGATAGACCTTTTTGTTAAGTATGATGCTTATTTTTTAACCAGAAATAGCTGTTATATCATTTTATTCAAAGCCACCAGACTCCATTGACAAAATAAAAGTCATTTTACTGTAAGAGGATGGGAGTTGCTGGCCTACAATGGCCTCAATCGGTCAGTCAGTGTTATTGTGTGACTTTCAGTGGTGGAAGAAGTATTCAGATCCCCTATTTAAATGAAAGTACCAGTACAAAAATGCTTCATTACAAGAGGAAGAATTCTAAACATTTTTGTCCCTACTGATCATTTAGACCCAGGTTTAGAAATACCAGAATTATCCTTTAAGACACACACAGTAGACTGTGATTGAAATCCTGGTTCATTGGGCACCTTTGTTGTATGTCATGTGTTTGACATGAATATTAAATTAAAAAAACAAAACCAAACAAAACTTGCACTGACTTTTCTGTCTCATAGTAGAGGTGGTGTTTGGTCAGCAGCCCACCGTCGGAGCCCGGCTTCCACCAGCAGGTAAACGTCTCCTTCTCTGGGGACCTGCAACCGAGCAGGACTGGTTTCCCCGGTGGAGACATGCCTGGCAACACATGATACAAACATGCATCAGCTCCTAATGCCTAATAATACAAGAAAAACAGAAACTTTGGGATGGTAAAACTATGATTGAAATAACATATTAAAGAGCTGGTTCACTCAAATTACAGTCACAGTCACTCAGTGGTATTTAGCCATGTAGACAGTTTTGGTTTTATTTGTTTTTTTTGGTTTTATTTGGTTTTTCAGGTGTAAGAAAACTTCAAAATTCATTGATAATCCATAGAAGATGCTGTGAACAGTTTTCAGTTGGTTAATTAGTTTCTTTGAGCTTAGGAGATGATAATTAAGTAAGAAATACAATGATGCACGGACATTAGTTGTCTGTAAGCTAACCATGACCATGTGACAGTGTGTCTGATTGTTTGCTTTCAGCTCAGCCTCAACCAGGAATGCAAATTATTTCTGTTATTTCCCTTGTCTCATTTTTTTCCTTTTGTCTCTGGAAGTTTATGAAACACATTCATAAAACCTATTGATAAGTTCAAAGTTTTCATATTTTATATTTTCACTCCCACTGTCACATCTTGGTGCTGCTTCTCTGACTTTGCATGTACTCATGTTTTCTTTTTCTTTTTTTGTGTTTTTCAACTTACTGTTGGACTCGGCAGCTGCAGACAGCAGCAAGAGCAGCGTCAACCCAAGATCTCTCCTCATCCTGACACAAACTGTCAGTCTGTGGGCCCTAAAAAACGAAGTGACATCACCAGCATGTGGTTAATGAGGTGATGTGAACCCGTGACTTGGCTGCCTCTCTTGTTTTTACCTAAAACAAAGACATATGACAGAACAACACAACCAATAATTATTTGTACATGTTGTAGCCAACACATACAGACCATCTACAGCCGTCACATGGTATCATGAAACAAGATACTATTAAAAATAAGTGAGAATTAACATGCAAATTCTGATGTGACATACAACATACAAATTGTACAAATATACACTATGAGGTAGGAGTTACACTGGACAACTATGACAACCATGAATGGTGGATTATTCTTTATCCTGCTGGTATTTTATTTATTTAATTTCTGTAACTACCAAACCTTAAATCTTCATTTCAGGAATGTAATTCAACAATATATATCGATATCGAAGGATAAATACTACACATTTTTTAAAACTCATTTGACTCACAAATGTTGCTGTCTGTTGTAATTTGAATGGATTTTTCTTGTACTTCCTCATTCCTATGAGCTCATCTTCATTCAGATCCACCATTGATAGCGATTACACACGCAGGCAACAGAATGACAACATATTTAGCTAAAACTTCCTATTTGCTTCAAAGACATGTGCTGGTTTCCTGCAGGTTTTTGGACTCTTTGGGAAATACACTGGAGGCAGACTTGTTGGCTCAAAGTAAGCACTGGGCAGATATGTTCCCTGGCTCAGACTCTGGCCTTTTCTGCCTTCCTGCTCTTTGCTGTGTAACAACCTTGAAATGCTTGATGCAATTAGTCACCTGAAGAGGTGTGGGAAAGCTTCCTTCACTGTCCTACCAGCCTGTAATTTACAGCATACCATTAAGAGGTTACACCTTGTCACTGACAGTTTTTTTTTTAATGTACAGTAACCACAGAGGCAACAGCCCAGTTTCATGCTGCAACACCTACTCTGACAAGTTTTAACAGGATCACTTGAGCAAGGTGACATCTGGACGAGGGCTATTTCTCAAATCTGACAAAAGACAAGCAAGCCTAGATGTCAAATCTAATACCCAAACCTAAATATTCTATTTTACACTCAGACTATGCAGCAGAACATTAATATTATTTTGTCATTATTATAGAAACCCATACCTTATGGCCATTCATGATCTAAATTACACAGCCAAATGACTGGAATAAATGTTATATTTAACACAGAGAAAATGCAGATGCAGATGACTGGCAATGCTGACAATTTTTATTTTTCACATTTTACAATTTAAGCTGTTTCTATAATGGTTTTCTGTATGGTGAACAAAATAATAGAAAAACATTACACTACAATATTTCATGATATGGCCACAGAAAATTATGTAACAGTACGGCTAAACACTTCTTTCAATAGCAACTGAAGGGTAACAAGCCTGTTTAATACTTATTATCAAACGGTATTGCATAACATCGCACAACTAAGGTGTTCATGTTGTGACTACTCCCGGCAGACCAACCTGTGGGCTCACTCACATCAACACCTGGCATTGACTCACCTCACACACCGGTGTAGGACGGGTGCCGACCTCCGCTTCTTCGTAAATGAACTACATGTAGCTGATGTTGACACAACCACAGAGGGAAAAGCAGACAGTACGGTAGACGACCTCCTCACACCTGACGGCCGGTGCGTTTCAAGTATGTTTCACTATGAGGAGCGGAGGTATCCTCTGAGTCATGTAAAAAAAAAAAAAAAAAGCGTTTGTTGTCGTCACGACCTTGTTCACCTGAGAACAGCCAAAGAGTGTAGCCGGGGCGAGATGTCTCACTTCGGCAGGATTTCGTTGGAGAGGGGTCTGCTTGCTTGCAGTGCACACTCTTAGTGTAAGTGGGCATAACTCTAAGCAAGCATCTAAACCCTTGAGTTGTCCAAATCACATAGACCCACACAACATATGAAAAAGAGATGTTGACAAGATGGCAGATTTTGTGGAGACAGAGCAAGCCGAACACAAGCAGGAAAACATTACTGTTTTAAAAGGGCTATTTGTTAGTTTTCTCTGCCGCCAAATGTGGTTTCTAGCCAGGAGCAGGTGGTGGTGATGCTTGCTTGACAAGAGCTTCAGCCATTGTTACATTTACAACACAGGAGGTTATAACACACCCTCCGAGCAGCACTACTTCTTCAGGACAGCCTGGACGCTATAATGAGTTGCTATCGCGACGGGCTGGTGCTAGCTGGTTAGCATGCTAACTTCAGCAGAAGAAGTGATAGAAATAAACTAAGCAAAACAGGAGTTAACTTTGGCATTGCTTTCCCCCATTTAGAGACAGGAATGAAGTTGCAACATTTCCTCTAGACTGGTAAATAAACAGCTGTTAATGCTATAAAGCAATAGCAAAACTTACAAGTAGTTGTTTTAAGCATCCTACACAGATGCCTGAACCACTGTGGAAGGGCAGTGGGTTGACATTGAAGTAGGCATAACTTGAACTGGGTAACTCTTAAGTGTTGCAGGGTGCAGATGGATCCTTTCTGTCTTTTCCTAACAGCGCTGACATCGAAATTGCTGAATGGTGAATGGTGGCACATTATAAACAGCATGTCAAGTCTGTACCACTGTCAGGTATCATCCTCCATCTCTAAGCACAAAAAGATCGATGGATATTAAGAAATAAAAGTAGTTGGCATCTCACCAAAAATCTGAATGTCCACCGACAGCGTTCATCTTGATGCATAAATTGTCTTTGGCAGTGCAGTAGGTGTGTCTGCCATCAGTTTCTTCCAGTAAGTTGACTTTATAGGTGCATTCAACTTTATGCCTTGACATGGTGCATGCTGGGTGTAAAACAATGCATGCTGGTTAGAAATTCTGTCTTGAAGTAAACTGTTATCATAGTCAGCGATCACAGTAATATTGTTGTCAAAACAACTGTCTTTGGCACCCTCAGCTGTAAGACATTTAATGTTTTTTTTTTTTACTCTTCTATGTCATTACTGTATGAATAGGCTATGGTATAAAATATACAATAAAATAGCAATTAATTACAGCTTATAGACTATTTATTTATTAGAAAGTGGTACCCATAACTTAATTCAAATCCATAAATTGTTCCTGTAACTCATGATCTCTATTATTATTATATAAACACTAACCAGCACATGGCTCATGGGGTGTGATCTCCAGGTTTCATATGCATCCACTAATACATTTTAAAGTTAAAGCATAAGGCTAATTCTTCTGTAACAAAAGTCCAAAACCAACACTTCATGAATCCTATTTACCTAATGTTTGCTTGTGTAACCAAAGCCTGACATGGCTTATTCCTCTGTGCTAGGGACTTCTGCTCCAAAACCCAAAGATATTCAGTTTACTATCATGTGCATCAAAGAAAAGCATGACATTTCTTTCAACACATAAAATAACGTAATACTCTATAAGTGTAAGTGAAATATTAAAATCTGATCACTGTGCTCTCTACTGTGTGTATTTTGTGGACTAGTTATAGTGATTAATGCACATTTACTCTACATGTGTCTATATATTTAAGTATTATGTTTGATACTGTTATGATCTTTGTCGGAATCTGCTGTCAGTTCCCCTCTCAACGTGAACATCAAAATAAGGATGTGAAACTTGCAGCTTTGTTAGAACATATGATGTCAGCAGCTGCTTTGCTAGATTGGTTTGATTGGTGCAGGGCTGGTGTATGGGATGACATCAATCAGATATAAATTTAATTGTGTTTGAAAAATATGACCCACTTCCTTCTGGCCTTTTTTTTTTCTTTCATCAATGTGATTTGTATCACCGCTGCCTTTCCTCATGTCTTCAGTCACCAACATTTTCTTTCTGGAGGATGACAATATTGTCACCGCTCACATGCTTTCAATAGAACTCTGAGACTTTTTCTGAGGATTTTCATGTAGGCACAGTTGCTTCAGGAGCCATATATATCACCCCAGGCTTAACACCGTACAGGCAGAAATGGGGTTTTGTACCTGACATGCAGTCCTAGAGAGAAAACTATAACCTTATGTTTACCTTATGCTCCTATGCAAATGGCTGTTTTGATCTCTGAGAGCAATAGCAGTAACCAAGTGCTATGTGCTGTAACCTGCATATCAGTCTGTGCTTAGTCTCTCGCAGTGGGGCTTGTAATGATGGTCTGTGAGATTGGGATGGTTATAAGAGGCCCCACTACTGCATGAAATGGTTGAAAAGACTGAGTTCGGTTCCCTGGGACAAACTCTGATACAGTAGAGTTACTATTCTCTGCTCTTACTGTAAGTACAGTACATGGAGGGCACACGTGCAACTGCCTGTATAACCAAACAAAAGATGGGAAATTTGATCTGTACAAAGGTTTTAGACTGAGCACAAACCTGTTCTGTCTCATTCTGATTTCGCCTCTGTCAGTCAGTACTTTTCTATTCCTTACGAAGCTCAAGAAAGCTGCAATGCCAATAATGCTGTGCCAGTCTTTAGCTCAAACAATACAAATAATTTTCTACTGTGTTAACTTGTATTTTAACAAATACACAGATCAAGTAGTCGTAGATCAAAGTGTATCACTGACACAAGACACTGTTGAGCTAAGCAGATTAAACGGTTCTCCATGATTATAAGTAATTTGTTGAAAGTTTTAAATTTTGAATTAATGAGTCACAGTTAATGCTGTCCACTGTGGTTCAGTGCTGTAAAAGAACAATCCATGAAGTCAGAGGGAGGCCATTGCTTTTTATATTCATTGTACAGTAAGTAGTACGGTGTGGAGCCAAACCCGAAAGAATCATATTCTATCATAACCCAGAAAAACCCCTCAATTTAGAGGATATTTTCAATATGGAGAAGGTTTGTTTTAAATCACCTTCAGTTGTCATCTGTGTTATTCTGCACTTTTGTTTTCTTTAAATACTGATGGAATTGCGTTGTTTTAATTTAGAAGTTTTTTTGAGTGCACCTATTAGAAATGGGCCATTCTGTGTCAGTGAACAGCAAAATCTGTATCTCTTCTCTCCACGACTGAAAGAGTTAGATGTCTCACTTCCGACCTGATTCAGTGTTGCCAGATTCCAGTTTTCTGCTGCAATTTCTGACAAAACTCTGAGGCATATCAGTCAAATGTGAACACACACACACACACACATGATACATATATTCTAAGATTTCATATGACTTACATTTTTCCAAAGATATCGCTATCTTTGATAATTATCACAAATAAAACATACATAAACCTGCTTAGAAATCTTGAGGAAAAAAAACTCACTGCAGAACTTGCCTGAGAATCATTGCGTTTTTATGTTGTTTTCACTATCAAAGTAAGTCACTGATAGTGTATGCTCATTAACAACTGGTGGTGGTCAATAGGGCAACAACTTTTTGTTCTGGGTCCTCTTCCAAGTTCATCTGGCCGTCAGTTGTTCAGCAGCAAAATACTAGGCTACTACAAATTGTCATAGGCCTCAGCTCTAAACATATCGAAGTGTATTTCAGTCAGGCCGCTTATCTGAAAAGTGTGAATTTATTGCATTATAGGAGGTAAAAATGTATTTGTAAAATTTATCTTAAACTCTGAATTCACGTTAATTTAGGTCAGCATTTTAACCAAACGTTCACCTACAGTGACTTATCTTGCCGCATATACAATCTTTGGCAAAAGCAGCACGCTGCTGCGTGGGGGGAAAACCAGACAGTGTAGTAGGTGTGTCTGTATCACTTTCATCGTTTCTTCCAGGAAGTAGACTTTTTTCTTGAAGTGAATTGTTGTCAAGTGTAATACGAGTGTCTCCGATCTGATAGAAACGCGTCGATGGTAGACTTTTCTTGCTGGCTGCCATGTCGGATTCTTTGGACCGGTCCACAAAGATTAACTTGTTGAAGGAGCCGGTTGTGAAGAAACTCTGCGAGGTGTTGGACAAATCCAGCACCAAAGGATGGCGAAAACTTGGAGAGATAGTCGGCAATGAGAGACGTTTAAAAGTCAGGTAGGTTGAAAAATGATTCAGACTATATCCTGCAGACAGTCACTGATACAAGGCTATTGTTGTTAAAACCATCATAGATAGATAGATAGATAGATAGATAGATAGACAGATGGATCAGTGCTTTACCTTGTCTATCCTGTCTTCGTGTCTATGAGGTACTTGACACTGCAAGTATGAATAGAGGTTGGGAAAGATGATCTGAAAGATAAGTACATGAAACTAGGGCTGCACTAACAGTCATTTTCATTATGAATGAATCTGCCAATTCATTTCTGCTATTAACGGATTAATCGTTTTGTATTTAAAATGTCAGAAAATAGTGCCCAGAAAATATGCCCATTTTACTTTCCTGGAGCTCCTCAAATGTCTTGTTTAGTCTGATTAATAGTCCAAAGGTATTCGATTTACAACTCAATATGACACAAAAATTCAATTGCCACATGTGAGAAGCTGCCACCAACAAATGTTTTGCATTTTTGCTTAAATAATGACTAAATTCAGTGATCAAAATAGTTGCAGATTCACTCTCTTTTGATCGACTAATTGATTAATCGAGTAATTGTCGCAGCTCTAAGTGAAACCCAAGTATTCATTACCTCTAGGGCCCTCTGTCCAGAGATCAAATTAAACTAATAT